GGGTGAAAATGAGCTCCTAGGAGAGCCTCAGGAGGCCCGAAAAGCCTGCCCAGTGGGCTCCTGGAGAGGTCTCCGAAAACGCCTGGCTGCGCCTGGAAGGCTAGCACGTGAAAGGGGGGTCGTCTTGGGACGGAAACGGCGGCCAGAGGGCGCCCTGGCCGCAGCTGGGGCCCCTCCGGGCTGGCGGAATGAGCGAGGCGCGGGGAGGACCCTAGGAGGGGTTGCGAGGGCTCAGAGGCAGGGGTAGGCATGAAAAGCGCGCTGGAGAGAAGACTTACACAAAACACTATTGAAGACCATGCTGTGGATCTCACATGCCGTACCCGGTGGGGCGGCGGATCGCCACAACGAGCCCGCCGCAGGTGCCGATCATTAATCGCTTCGCTCACACCGCCTGCCCATTTCACATCACTTTGGTTGCGTGGTGATGTTCTCGTGCCCTTGGGGGGCACTTGGGGGCCTCAGGGCCGCTCTCAGGGCTCTTGGGAGGCCCTGAGGCCGGCGCGCAGGATAATCATCTCTGATGGGAACTTGCTTGGGACCTGCCCGGGACCTGCTCGGGGTATTTGTCGGCCGCGGACCTCAGGGGCCGCCCTGCGCGAGATCTTAGCACGCCTCTGGGCCGTTTCGGCCGCTGGAGCTGACGCCTACTAGTGGCGTTCGGCCCATCCCGCCACCGTGCCTGGGTTGTGTGTGTGTGTGTGTCTGAGGCCATTCGGAGAAGAGGAGGAGCCCAGATCTTCCGCCCCATGAGGTCTTGCAACTACCTCTGAGGAATTTCAACATATCTCGCCTCGAAAACACATGCCCGTTCCCTGCTGCGCCGATGCGAGACCGCCAGTGGAGCCCCAGCCAAGGGTAAAGCACAAGGAAGTATCGAGCGACAGGATTGACTTGGTGGGGATGGGGGCTGTCGGCGGCGAGGCAAGGACCTGGCCCTGAATAGAAAGGGAAACAATCTCGAGCAGGGGTGCTTTTGTTGCTGGGAGAGGCGCCAATGCAGAAGAGAGTATGGCGCTAGTCCAGCGTAAAGCAAAGCGAGGCAGCGCTAGTTTTGTGGGGACGGGGGTCGTCGGCGGCGAAGAGGAACACCGGCTTGAGTAAGAAGGGAAGTGTCTCGAGCGGGAGCCGCGGTTTTGTCGGGACGGGGGCTGGCGGCGGCGAGGAACAGCACCGTCCTCATGAACAAGGGTGGAAGCCTCGCTTAGGGCGGCGCCAATTCAAAAGAGAGTGGGGCGCCAATCCAGCGTAAAACGGGAGGAAGCCTCGGGGGGGAGCGCTGGTTTTGTTGGGGCGGCGGCTTTCGGCGGCGAGCAACAGCACCGGCTCTGAGCAAAAAAGGAGGAAGTCTCGAGCGTGAGCGTTGGTTGCACCGGCTCTGAATGAAAAAGGAGAAAGTCTCGAGCGGGAGCGTTGGTTTTGTTGGGGCGGGGTTTTCGGCGGCGAGCAAGAGCACCGGCTCTAAATAAAAACAAAAAACGTCTCGAGCGGGAGCGTTGTTGTTGTTGGGGGGGCCGGTTTTGGCGCCCCCCCAATCCGCTCGAGCGGAGCCTCATTTTCAATGAAAATGTAGCCGGCGCCGAGGCGAGAGCGACAGGGCGCCTGGGGGGGGGTCAACAATAAGAATGAGCAGTTAGAGTTCAACAACGTCAATGACAACAACAGCAACAACAACAGCACAAATCCGCATCGCGGAATCTCACTTTAGCCACGCACCCAGGGACAGTGAATGACGTTCGGCGTCGGGCTGGGACGGGTATTCAGAACACTCGACTAAACAAGGCGCACACTGTGGCAAACTTTAGGGCAACTCTGATGTGTTCGTTTTCTTTGCGACACGCTTTCCAAGCATACTTTCCAAGCATACTTTACTATTTGACTAGTCGGTACACGGCTTCAAACCTAGAGCCTCTTGCGCATGAACATTTTCTGACGCATTATCTACTGACTTTGGTGCTACACAGTATGCAATGTCTGATGGGATCCTGGAAGCTCTGTGCGGTAGTGTGTCCCACCTTGGGGTAATCGAAAAAAAACACACACACACATGATATGTTGTAGCCCGCTTGGACCTAGATCTTCGAACAAAAACTCCAGGCCAGCGCACTCGATCCTCTGATTGCGTTCTCCTCCTCCTCCTCCTCCTCCTTCCTCATCATCCTTTTCCTCCTGCTCATTCTCCTGCTCATCCGACACCTCCTTCTCCTCATCATCCCCCTCCTACGCACGCAGCTCCCATTTTCCGATTGAGCATAATTCGATCGTGTCTTTCTGGGAGTTCCAGGTCCGCTCTGACTCGCGTCCGTGGATAGATGGAACATCATAGCAACGGTAAGGGATAGGAGTGAGGGGTAGGATATCACACATGACTCGAGTGCACCTAGATTGTTCTGCCCATTCTTCTCTCCTCATCCTCCCCATCCCCCTCCAAGCCTTCATCCTCGCACAGCTTCTCCTCCTCCTCCTCCGCTTCCTCCTCCCCCTCCCCCTCCTCCTCCTCCTCCTCCTCCTCCTCCTCCTCCTCCTCCTCCTCCTCCTCCTCCTCCTCCTCCTCCTCCTCCTCCCCCTTCATCGTTCTCCAAATCCTCCTCCCCCTCCCCGTGTCCTCGTCCGACTCCTTTGCTTGCCCCCTCTTCTCTATCCGCCCCGACCCATGAGTGACCATGCTGGCGCCCCAGCGTCCACCCGCTGCGCTCGCGTTTGTGCTTCGTGCTGGTTGTATTGTCTTGTCTTGTCTTGTCTTGTCCTGTCCTGTCCTGTCTGGTCTTGTCTTGTCGTGTCCTTCCCCTCCCTCCCCGCCCACACTCCACCATGCTCGCTCCCCCGCTCCTCCATCCCTCTTCCGTCTCTCCGTCTCTCCGTCTCTCTCTCTCTCTCTCTCTCGTCCGTCCTCTCCTCCACAGCGGCGAGGACCTGCGGCTGATGGACTTTGGGCAGGCTGCCCGCTCCGACCCAGAGGACGAGGGAGGAGGAGGGAGGAGGAGGAGGAGGAGGTCTTGCCAGTGCCTCATGCTGGGCTGACGGGAAAAAAGGGGGGGGCGGGAGAGGAGCCCGAGCGCCTTGCCGCGCAGGAGCGCGGCGAGGAGCGCCTGGCTCCTCCTAGGCCCCGCCCCCTCCCGGCGCGGCGCCGCGCTCGGCCGCAGAAAGAGCGTCCTCTTCGCCTCCCTCCGCGGCCGCCCTCTCTCGTCTCTGTTCTTCCTCCCCTTCTTGCACGCGGGCCACTTCGCGGCTCCGCAGCCAGGCGTTGCTACTCGCGCGAGCGGATTGCCTCTGTCGCGCCGCGCCGTACAAAAAAACGTTTCAGGGGGGAAGGGCTCCCCCACTCCCCGTCGGATGAGCTTTAGAGGAGGACTAGAGCAAACGCGGGATGCGATGAACCCTTGCGTCCCAAGCTGTCTCCCAGTGAGTCCCGCACAGGCATTTCTCTCCACTGCGGCAGGCGCCCCCCCGTTGACTGACGAGCGCCCGGTGGGCGTGCCACTCAGCCCGAGGGCCCGTTTTGTGACCCCCCCCTCTCCTTCTTCCACATACGTACGGAGAGAAGGGCGCAAAGAGACATGTTGATTCAGTTAACGGGGTGTCCAGCGAAGACGCCGCTATTGAAATGGGCTTGCTCTCCATCCGAGTAAGCGTTGCGCCAGAGCTCTGATCACACATTGGTGCAAGTCGAAGGGGAGATCCCGGTTTCGAAAAGGATCCACCCTCCATGTGTGCAGATGTTGCACCAGTTGGAACTTGTGGTCGTAGAATTGGAGGAACATGTCAGAGACATTCGAGGGTTGATATCGATGCGTCCTCCGTGAGTAAAACTGGTGGAAGTTTCTGAAAGAGTGTGCGCGGCGCTGGGGCAAGAGCCGCAGGTTGAAAACGACCGGTCCTTTTTCCGTCTAGTTGTTGGATGTTTGAAGCGAGTGTGGGCGGCGCTGAGGCGAGAATCGCATTCTGAAAGCGACTGCTCCTTCACCCGTGTACATTCTGGAAGCGTGTATGTGCGCGGCGCTGTGGCGAGAGCGGCCTTCTGAAGACCACTGGCCCCCCATCCGCGTAGCTGTTGGAAGTTGTTGAATCGAATGTGCATGGCGCCAAGGCGAGGGCCGCGCGTGTCAAAAAACGACGGGCCCTCCATCCATGTGCTGAGGGCTGAGCCGCCTCCGCCTTGGCTATGCCCGCAGGTCCCTCTTTCTCCTTGTCCTCCTCGCAGGTCGTGCCGATGCGCGCGCTGGAGAAGTTCGGCTAGGTAGGTAGACTTGTAGAGGGTTTCTGTCGGGAGGGGTGTGGACATCGAAGGCATCGAAGTAGTTATGCGAAGGGCGCCTAACCAACTCTCGCAGTACTCATCTGTTTCCTCCTCCCTCTCCTCCCCCCTGCTCCTCCTCCTCCTCCTCCTCCTCCTCCTCCTCCTCGTTCTCCTCCTCCTCCTCCTCCTCCTCCTCCTCCTCCTCCTCCTCGCCATCCTCTTTCTACTTCAGTGCCACGCTGCGGAATTCGTGCCTCGGTGCCGTCGGGAAGGACACTAACAAGACAAACAAGAAGAAGAAAGAGGAGGAATATGAGGAGGAGGAGGAGGTGGAAGAGAAGGAGGAGGCGGAGGAGCTGGCGGAATCACGCGCGGGGAGAACCGTCCATCTCGTTTGTCGTCTGCGATGGGCCAATCTCCCAGCCGGTGCCCGCGCGGAAGGAACGGACCCTGAGATCCGACGTCCCGAGTGCAGTAAGACATAGTGACAAATCACGACCAGAGCCCCAGACACCATCTTTGCGCGCCACTGGTGGAGCAGGATCGATCTGTGAGGACCCCCGGGGGCTCGAAACGGTGCAGAACATCGGCCGTTGCGAACAGGTGCAACGCCAGGATCTCAGGCGAGGAGGCAGGAAGCCTCGGGGCGGGGGCGAGGACGGCAGGGGCGGACCGTGGGCAGGCCGTCCGCTCCCACTCGGACGCCGGGGAGGAGCTGCGCTACTTCGCTTCGGCGGGCAAGCCGCACTACCGGGCGCCCAACATGTACGTGCCCGCCGAGGACCTCGCGCTCGTCGCGCTCGTCGTCGTAGTCGGGCCCTGCCTGGCCTGCGCGCGGGTGCCCAGACCCCCTCGCGTCATGAAAAGGTCACGGCGGGAGGTCTCGTGCTATTTTCGGCCTCCGTGGGCCCGCGCCAGGCCCCAGGACCGTCAAAAGCTGACTCAGGATCAAAAGGGGGTCCTGGGGAATGGGTTGAGACCTCGGGGTGTCGACGCTATGGAAAAGTCATGGCGTAAATATCAGGGCAGGCAGAGTCACGACCGAACGTCGTCGTCGTCGTCGCCGTCGGCGCCACCGCCGCCGCCGTCGTCGCCGTCGCCGTCGTCGTCGTCGTCGTCGTCGTCGTCGTCGTCGTCGTCATCGTCGTCCCCGTCCCCCTGGTCCTGCCTCCCCCTGCCCTCCTCTCCCTTCCCACCCCCATCGCCCCTCTCCCTGTCACGTCCCACCACCCTCCCGGAGGACGCTGTCGAGGCGATCCCCCCCGCGGGCTGCGTGGGCGGACAGACGATATTCGCCCGCGTGCTGTCGGGAAGGTCCGCCGTGCCGCGTGGCCCCCCCGCCGCGACTTGGCCATCCTCTTCCTCCGACTCGTCCACTGTCCTCGGGCTCCCTCGCACTCCATGTCGTCGCCGTCCTCCTTCTCTCTCGAGGTTCGAGGAATGATGTTTCGAGGAATCGAGGTTCGAGGAATGATACTTCTGCCCCAGCAGTCAGCGCAGCGCCCAGCTTTGCTTCTGGGGCAGAAGAGTCGATACGATTGCCGATGCAGACCACTCTTTCCGCTTTCACCCTTCCCTCCTCGAGCTCTTCTTCTTCTTCCTCCTCCTCCTCCTCCTCCTCCTCCTCCTCCTCCTCCTCCTCTCTCTTCCTCTCCTCCTCATGCTTCTGGTGATGATGCTTCCGCTGCTTCTGCTGCTCTTGTGGCTGCTTCTCGCAGTCCGAGTCCCCGCCCTGCTTGCCCTCGTCGCATTTCGCGTTCGGTTCCTTCTCGTCTGCCCCCTCCTCGGCCCCGCCCTCTCGACCCCATTTTGCTCAATTGTCCTTCGTTTGTTTGGCAATGTTGCTACGTTCTGCTCCTCTTCTACTCCCCTCGTTTAAATGTCCCGAAACCAATCCACTGGTCGTCACCGCTGTGAATACCACGCTCTTCCTGACCCTCCAGGAACATCTCCCGACTTACGCACAAAGCGAGCACACCTATACCTAAGCGTAATCGAGGAACCAGTAACAAAATGCAGCGCGTAAGGACAATCCAGTGCAAACGAAACTTGCGTGTACGCATTATGGCTCTGGCGCTTTGACACGGCACCTGTCCTGGACCATCCAGGCTCGCACGTGCAATCCCAGGCTCGAAATGACGCATCCAAATTCAGCGCACAAAGTGCACTCCAGGTGAGGCTGCAACGCGCAACAGATCTCCAGCGCAAGAAATTGCAAGGTAACACATGTGAGTTTCTGACCATGATGGTTGGCGCGTTGACACACGCCCTTCCTGAACGTCCTCAAACCATTCCATACTCACAGGTTGAATCCTACGCTCAAGCTGAAACGGCCAAACACAGCGAAACAAGTCCATGCAAAACACAACTGCAAACGGAAACGCGTCATGGTCGCTGGCGCTTTGACACCGCACTCTCCCTACAATTCCCAAAACCATTCTCGATTGTACGCGCAATCCGAAGCTCGAGTCGACGTTCCCACAAGCAGCACAACACGTGCGAGTCAACATATCTACAACGCAAAACATCTGAAGGGAACAACGGCACTGCAACAATACTTGCGTTTCTGATCACGGTTGTCTACTGCGCTTCGACACCGCTCCCTCCCTGAACATCCCCAAACTGTTCCCGACTCACGCGCGGAATCCTAAGCTCAAGTTGAAGCAGCCAAACGCAGCGCTAAACTAGATACAATGCAAAACACAGTTGTAAGTTGCAATGGAGCAAAACCGCTGCCATGCAACAAGCTGCGTTTAGCATCATTGTCGTTGGCGCCTCGACAGTATGCCCTCCCTGATTCGTTCCAAACCACTCCCACCTTGCATGCGAAATCCTAAGCTCAAGCTGAAGAAGCCAATCGCAAAGCTCAGGTAAGGATGGTCTCGTTGATCTTCGAGCGCAGTTGCTTAACGCCCCGCCGTTGGCTACAAAGCTAAACATTAAGGCTTCCGGAGACCTCCGATGCCCTCTGGAGACCCCCGGAGAGTTGGGACCTCCACGGACCTTCCCGGACTTCTGAGGCCTTCTTGAAGGTCCTTGAATTTAGGATGTTTCTCTTGGGATGTTAGATGCAGCATTGACACGCTGCTGACCATGGCGCATCCGTTGCTGAAAGCCAACCCAATCCGGCATAATCCCGCTTGCTCCCGTTGAATCCGGCTTGATCCCCGGCTCGGTCAAGCCCATTTTGGCCGAGTGGGTTTTCAATAGGGCTTAATCGCCCCTCATCGTTTTTACGAAGCCTTCCCAGGATATGTTTCCTAGTGGAATAACGCCCCCTCCAGAACAAGTGGCACGCAGACCCTGGCTCTTGCGCGGGGAGGGCGACGAGGAGGGAGAGTATTTTTTGGCCATCCTGGTGCTGCTGTCTTATGACGGGGCCTGGTGTCAGGGACATACGAGATGGCCGAGGGGACGAACGAACGACGAACGAACGACGAACATAACGAGGCCCGAGCTCCAGAACACAGCAGTGCAAGAGAATCACGCATCCCCCCGAAGGTCTGTCGCCCTCTGCGACGTGACCCTCCCGCCCGGCGCGAGACCGGGCGAGCCGTGCACCGCGGAGCCAGCGGGCTATCCCGGAGGCTCACGCCGCTCCCCGCCACCGGCGGCGCGCACGCGCAGGGCAGGGCGAGGGGGTGGCCGTAGAACGGCACCCTGCCTTTGGGCAGCCCTCCCGCCTCGCGGGGAGGCCTCCTTGGCTGGAGCCGTCTCTTGGCCCAGCTTGTTGTTCTGGCCAGCAGGAAGGGGCGGGCAGGTTCGAGGCTCTGGTTTCGGGGAGGCTTTGCAGTTTTTTCTGTCTCTGGGGGCAGCCTTTCGTCCCAAGGGGCCATGAGATATGGATCTGCGGCGAACAACTGCAACAGATGGACTCCTCGGATACCGACCTTGAGCGGATTTGGCTTCATCCCCCCTCCTGGCCGATTTTCCGGGGTAGTTCAGACTCCCTGTGATGGGCTTGTTTTCCACCACCACGACCATAAGTTGGAGGGGGATGGGGTCCTCCTCCTCCTCCTCCTCCACATCCTCCTCCTCTTCGTCCTCCTCCTCTTCGTCCTCCTCCTCCTCGTCCTCCTCCTCCTCCTCCCCCCCTCCAACTTATGGTGGTGGTGGTGGTGGTGGAAAACAAGCCCATCACCCTGGCCGCCTCCAGCTTGGGAGCCTTCTCCGGAGAGGCCAATCCCGAGAGGGGAGCCCCAGCCTCCTTAGACGGCCATTCTCGTCGCCCTGCCCCGCTTCGCCACTGCCCCGCGTCGCTCACCGCAAGGGCCTGGGAAGGCGGCCGAGTGCCACCACAGCAAGTCTGGCACCATACAGCCAAGGCGCCGAAAGAAAGACCGCTTTGGGGTTTCGGCCGTTCCCCGGAGCTGGGCCGGGAACCTCTTCGTGGCCGAGGCTCGCCGTGGCCAGAAAAGCCCCCTCGTTCCCTGCTCCGGCGTCCCGAATGGCAGCGCGGTGGCTGCCGCTGTGGGTCAGAACGCCGCCAGGCAGTCAGGGAACACCGCGCCAAGGGGCTCCACGGGCGCGCCGAAGCGGCGAAGAGGGCAGGCCGTGCTCAGAGCGCGGCCCTTGCCTTGGACGTGCACTTTCGGACGTCGTCGTCGTCGTTGTTGTTGTCGTCGCCTCGAGGCCCCCGCCCGCCCCCCCGGGGCCGCGGCGAGCCTCGGCTTCGAGCAGGTTCCCCGACCTGGATCTGAGGAGCGGCGCGAAGACCGCGGCCCCCTCCCGAGCCCGGAGCGATCCGCACGTCAGCGTCCTGGCCGTATCGTTGGTCGCGCCTGCCTGGCGCGCCCGGCGGGGCCCTCCATCCGTGCGGGATCCCGCCCACGACGAGGTCGACCACAGGGACTTCTCCCTCCTCCTCTCTCCCCCTCCCTCCCTCCTCCCTCCTCCTCCTCTTCCTCCTCCTCCCTCCTCGTCGTCGTCCTCCTCCTCCACCTCCTCCACCTCCTCCACCTCCTTCGTCTGACCTGAGCGTCTCCCTCCTCCCCCCCTCCCTCCTCCCCCCTCCTTCTCCCCCTCCTCCTCCGCCTCCTCAACCTCCTCCTCCTCCTCCTCCTCCTCCTCCTCCTCCTCCTCCTCCTCCTCCTCCTCCTCCTCCTCCCTCCTCCATCTGCTGCGCTCGTCGCCTCCCTCGTCCCCTGATCCGCCCGTCCACCTGAGCAGCGACTCGTGCCTAAGCATGTGTGCCAGGACTGTTTCTCGGCTCCAAGGTTTGATCGACGAGACTCATTGGGCCACGAGGTTGCCACCGTTCCAGCTAGAGCGGTACAAGTACTTGTTGCGAATCGCTGGCCAGGAGACGCTGGACCTCCTCTTCAGGTCTCGGCCCATGCTTCAGGTCTCAGCCCATGCACCCAGAACGTTGCTGCAGGTCTCGGAGTCGATCGCACGAGCGCATTGGCGGCAAGATGTTCGGCTCGCCTATCGTCTCCTTGGGCCGCATCCTCTGGTCGAGGACTTCCCAGATGTTCAAGGCACCCTTGTCTCGCTCATCCACCCGCCGACCTTCCAGCAGAGGTCGTGCCGTGTCCAGTCGGAGGCTGCCCAGTCCGGGCGGTCCGAGTTGTTAGCCAGGCAGGACGTTGAGGGTCCCACTATCCAAGTTCGTAAACAACTGTGTGTGCACTCGAACGGCGCGTTCGTCTCTGGTCTCCTATCGGTAAGCGTCTGGCTCTTCCCAGTGTCAGGAATTCGTCTGATAAGCTCGTCTCGGATCCCGCTGAGAAGATCAAGGTCTTTGGTGACTACTGGCAACCCGTCCTCGTTCGCAAAAGTTGGGACGCTGCTGCCGCTGCTGATTACGCTCGTCGCTGGCTGCCGTCTGCCGTTGATGCTCATCTTCATCCACCTACCCGTCACGCTCTCCGTCGTGTCCTCCGACGTGCTCGGGATTCGGCTCCCGTGATCGACGGCTTCCCCTACGCCGCATGGCAGGCCCGTCAGCACGGTGAGCGCATCTTGGTGAATGCGCTCGATTGGCTTTTCTCGGGCCAGTCGTTGTTCGACGACGCGAGTGCGACGATTCTGGCATTCCTTCCGAAGGCGATTCTCGACTCCGAGCTTCGGGATGGTCTTGCTCGAGGCATCCTGAGAAAGATCGGGTTCAGGGGCTCCAAAGCTCGGACATCAAGGTCCCCTCGGCGGTCGATTCGTCCTGTGTTGGATGCCGTGGTCCCGTCCTGCCAACGGGGTTCGTGCCGAAGCGCAACTTCGGGCTGAATGTCCTGGAGTTGGACAGCTCGGCGAGGGCGCTGTCCGTCACCCCGCACATGTCGTCGGACCTCCCCGTCCTTTTTTTCCATGGATTTCGGCCAGGCGTGCCCGTCATTGAATCAGCAGCTTCTCGCGTTTGTGGTCCAGGCCCTGGGGCTCCCGTTCGCTTTCCAGGACTTCCTCCTCTTCCTCTATGCTGCAATCGAAGGCCTCGCCAGCCTCCGTGTGAGCTTTGGGGGGCTGTGCTGGGTCAGGAGTGGCGTTGTGCAGGGATGTGCGTTGTCGGGCTCCTACGCCTTGAGCACCGCGATGTTCCTGTGGGACCTCGCGGACTGCATCGAGGCTCGGGGGTGCGGCCTGGTTCGGGCCTGCGCGGACGACATAGGAGGGACCCTTGCTGCTGTGCGTCATCTTGTGCAGGTGTTTCGCGTGACGTGTGCTGCCGATGCCTTGGCCATCTTGCTCCTCAGGATTGCCAATTGCAAGATCGCCCCCCTCTCTCTCTCTGGCCCTTTCACTAACTTGCTCCACGGCCGCGCGCAGGCCGTCCTTGCTGCTGCCGTGCCATACTGGAGCACCTTCGAGGTGGTCCCCGAGTTTCTCGGCCCCTTGGGTCGAGCCGAGCCAAGTGAAGCCGGACTCGTGCTTGCTCCCGTCGTGGGCGTCGCCGTGCTGATGACCGAAGCCTCTGAAGCCGTCGGTGCCACGCGGGAGATCTCGACCGAAACCTGGCCGCGCTGAGCTCGGGAGGGAGACGATCGCCTGGATTGGTCCCGTCACCGCCGAGCCGAGTTGGGCCGACCCTGTCGCGGAGCTCGGGCTGCGGCCCCCTGCCGTCGGGCGCGGCGTGGCGCCCGCCGGCGCGTCGTCGCGTCTCTGCAGTGCCAGGGCGGTCAGCACGCTGTCCAGCACTGCCCAGTGCTGGTGGCCCCGCCGGCTTGGCCCCGTCACCGCCGAGCCGAGCTGGGCCGACCCTGTCGCGGAGCTCGGGCTGTCCCCTTGCTGTCGGGCGCGGCGTGGCGCCCGCCGGTGCGTCGTCGCGTCTCTGCAGTGCCAGGGCGGTCAGCACGCTGTGCAGCCTTGGCCCAGTGCTGTTGGCCACCTCCGGAGCTGCTGCGGCTCGAGCTGCCTGGTCTGGCACAGAGCTGCCGTGCCCCCAGTGGGCGCGTACGCTCTCGATTCCTGGGCTCAGCCTGGAGTTTGGGGAGGGCCGCGCGTGGTCCGGTGGGTGCGCGCGGCGCTGCTGACCTGACTGCAGCACGCACGGGTGCTCGTTGAACCTCGAGACCACGCTCTGCGTCATCCTGAAGGGCGCTCTCTTGGTGTGCTCGCCTCGGGTAGCCCCTGCCCATCCTTCTGGAAAGCCCCCGCGATGGTCGAGACCCTGGCTGCTGCCGCCGCTGCTGCCCCCTCGTCTGGCCAGGTGGCGCCTATGATTGTCCCTGCCCACGAGGCGGCGGTCGCCGCGCTGGCCCTCCCTCCTGGTGGGCGCACTCGGCCCCAACGTGCAGCCCATCTGGCGATGCGCACCCTGGCTGTGGAGCAGGGCCCGCTGATAGCGCTGCCAGGCTTGCGCCTACGCAAGCTGCTGCCTGCTCATCGCGCCGCCGTGGCGATCCTTCTGAATCGATGTCCATGCTCGTGGGCGTGGGCTTCTCTGTGCACCTGGACGGACTCTTGGATGACCTCCTCGCGTATCCTCCACCCGCTTGGCCAGCGGGCTTGCGCCTTCGGCTGCGCTGCAACCGACGCGCTGCTGCACTACGCCTTCTGCCGACCGATGCACCGCGCGTTCCGACGCTCTCTGGCCCGTGATGGTACGCTGGCACCCCCAGCCGCCGTCGATGGAGGCTGTCTCCTACATGATGGCTGCCTACAGCATGTACCACGCGGCCAGGACGCGCGCGGACTGGCCTCCGTCGACGCTGCCAGCTGTGCTCTGGCCGGTGTCCGCGCTATGCGGTCTGCGCGGTCTTCGAAGCTGGCGGCGCTTGAGCGGGAGGCGCTGGCTGCAGCTGACTACGCAGCGGGTGCTGCTGCCGACGATAGTTCGACGTATTCTTCCTCCTCGTCGGCTTCGGCGTCGGCGATCTCGTTTTAGAGGACGCCGCGCCGTCTTCGCCCGGCGTGCGCTCAGCTGCTGGCGACGCCGAGCTCTCATATCCGAGCTGCGACCCTATCCTCATCACGGAGACGGAGACTCTTGGCGTGCTTGCTATGGGGCCTTCCTTGCGCACCATCGCCACGTCGTACCTCTCGTCTGTGGCCCGGCCCCGACGAGGACGGCGACGGCGACGCGGCCAGCGACTCGACTATCGTGATGGTGGATCTGGCGCCCGGGACCCCTGATGTGCAGCAGCTGTGTCCCTCGCCGTCGGCCCCGTCGACGCTGGGCCCGTGGGAGGCGCGGGCCCGCTGGAGGCTCTTTACATGGTCGGCTGGACTTCGGCGTGTGCTTCCAAGGCGCATGCGTCGTCGTCGCGGGCGGCTTCCTCCTCGTCGATGTCAATCTCTGCGGGGTCAGGCGCAGCGGCTCTTGGTACTCCGATTGCGTTGCCGTCATCGGTTGCCACGTGTGGATCGCAGATGTCGGCTTTGAAGATTATTGCGAGTGCGAGGGTGGCAGCGTCTGCGTGTTCCCAGGTGACTAGTTATCCTCCTTGTCCTACAAGCTCCAGCCCATCCAATCTCCAGCCTATCGAAACAATCCCTCTTCTCCCCGCCGATTGCTGTGAAATGGCACCATCGATGTTGCAGCGATTGACTTACAAAACACACAATGGGTGCGATTTCGATCGAGCATGCAACGAAGATGGGCCACTGGTATCAACATCAACACGTTCTGTTCCTCTTCGACGAGCTGCTGGTACTTCGATCTTCTCTACGCGACCTGGTCATGGGCCAGTGGAATCAACATCGAGGGCATTTGCACCGCATGTTCTGCTCCTCGCAGGACGGTGTCCTGTCCTCCACGCGTGTCAGTGCTATCAAAGATGGAGGCTGACCGGTGCGCGCCCTGGCGCGGGCCAGTGCCCTCATCATCTTCTCCGATGACTTGCTGGTCGTCGTCGGCCGCCTGCGCGAGGGAAACGAGCGACCAACCTGGGCCTACGGCGCGTGCCACCCGCGGGTTGGGTGGGAGCGACGGCTCCCCTCTCTACGCTACGCTCCTCCTCTTCCTCCTCTTCCTCCTCTTCCTCGTCCTCCTCCTCCTCCGCCTCTTCCTCCTCCTCATCCTTCTTCTCATCCTCCTCCTTCTTCTCTGACTTTCGCCGTCTCGCGCTGAACGCCGCGAAGGACAGACTGACGCCCGTCTAAATGAAGCATTGAGAGCTGCCGCGCGGCGTCCCCGCGGCTCGGTACGGGGAAGACCCGCACCCCCAGCTCCGCTGATGCTTTTTCGTTTGACCTGAACTTCTCCTGTGGCTCACATGACCGCGCACCGCTGGCTCCGGAGGCTACGGCCTCGACCGCCTCGTCCGGAGACAGGCCCAGACACTGTTTCGAGGGAGGAGACACGGATACCATGACCAGGATAGCGCGGGAGCCTGTTGATGCCGAATTTGGCCATGGTCCATCCCTGTCGCCGCCGGCTCGCGAGGATGATCCACGAATTGGCGCTGACCAAGGTCGACTGTGACCACGATCGGCACGACGTTTCCACGTTCAGTCTTGGTCATCGTCCCCGTTGTTCTTCCCCTCCACTGTCGTTCGCTCGTCTCTCCCCCCGAGCGCAGCCACGGCGGAGCGCCTCGGCGCGCCCTGCCACCTCCCGCGGGCGGGAGTCCAGCGGACCACGTCCGGCCCGCGGACGTGTTCGCGTGCGGGGTCTGCCTGTTCATACTGGCCACGGGGATGCCGCCCTGGAAGGAGGCGATGCCCCCTCCGAGTACCGAGGAGCGACGAGGAGGCTGGAGGATCCAGGCTGCTTTGCGTTTTTTCCCAACCGTGCTGTGGTGTTTTCGGTCTCCGTTTTGAAGAGACAGCGCCCCGCGTTGCCTCCTCTCCTCTCCTCCTCCCCTTCCTCCCTCCTCCCACCCTCTCTTCCCTGCATCTGCCCCCCGCATGCCCATGTCGGCACACCCCTCACGCATCGTGGCCCCATAGGGAGCTTCACCTAAGGCCCCAGTGAGTGCGTCCACGTGCGTATCCCCACCCACCGCACGTCCATTCTGGCACACGCCTCACACTTCTCGTTGCCCCATAGGGAGCTTCACCTGAGGCCCCAGTGGGTGCGTCCACGCGCGGTTTCCCGCCCACCGCATCTCCATTTCGAGACACCCCTCACACGCTGCGTGGCCCCATAGGGAGATCCATAGAAGGCCCCAATGGGTGCGGCCACATGCGGCTCCCCGCCAACCGCATTTCCATATCGACACACCCCTCATGCTTTTCGTGGCCTCGCAGGGAGCTCCACCTGGCCCCCATTGGTGCGGCCATCTGCGGCTTCCCGCCCAGGGCATGTCCAGTTCGGCACACCCGTCACATGGTTCGTGGCCTCGCAGGGAGCTCACATGCGGCTCTCCACCCACCACATGTTCATTTTGGCACACCCCTCACACGTTGTTTCGCGGCCCCATAGGGAGCTCCACCTAAAGCTCCAGTGGTTGCAACCACATGCGGCTTCTTGCCCATTTCGGCATACTTCTCACACGTCTCGTTTCCCCAACGAGATGCTCCACAGAAATGAACAACTGCGACACTCGACACTGGATCCTTCGCCAGGGTATTTTTGGGGGGTGGGGGGGAGTTTTTGGATAGGGGACCTGAAGGCCTCCAGAGGCTCCGGAGATCTCCATGAGACCTCCATGAGACCCACACTGGACACCTGCACGGACTTCCCGAGGCTTCCATGTCCAGGATGCCTCACGAGACCTGCGGAGACCTCCTGAGTCCATAGACCTCAGGAGACCGTCCAGGAGGGAGGGAGGGCTAGGGAGGGGGGAGGGGAGGGGATGAGAGGGACGACTGCGGAGGCCTTACGGCAGGTGCCGCCGACCCTGCAGGGGGACGACGACGACGACGACGACGACGACGACGACGACGACGACGACGACGACGACGACGACGACGACGACGACGACGACGTTGTTCACGACTACTTCGCCCGAGGAGCCCTCACTGCCGCGCCGGCCACGGGCGCGGCGGAGCCCCTCTCTGAGCACCTGGGGGGCCTCTTGGAGCGGCCCGGGGCCTCCGCGGCAGTCTTGGAGGCTTGCGGGTTTGCCTTGGGCCGTCCAGAGCGACTCGAGGTTGTCTTGGGGGCCTCTTGGGGTCCCTGTGGCGCCTTCTGGGCGCCCTCGCCTGGGGCCCTCCCCTCGGTCCTCTGAACCCGCTTCGGGCCGCCAGCGGGGGGACCTCGAGAGGAGGAGGAGGAGGAGGGAGGAAGAGGAGGAGGCGGAGGAGGAGGGAGGAGGAGGAGGAGGCAGGAGGAGGAGGAGGAGGCGGGAGGAGGAGAAGGAGGAGCAGGAGGAGGAGGCGGAGGAGGAGGGAGGAGAGAGGAGGAAGGAGGGGAGGAGGAGGAGGAGCAGGAGGAAGAGGATGAGGAGGGGAAGGAGCAGGGGAGGAGGAGCAGGAGGAGCAGGAGAGAGCAGGAGGAGGAGGAGGAGGGAGGAGGAGGAGGAGGAGAGGAGGAGGAGGAGGTGGGGGGGGAGGGAGGAATTCTACTGTTTTGTTGCCGTTGCGTTTATGTGGGTCTCCAGCGGAGGCCTTCGCCTTCACGGCTGCGTTTGCCGGAGTCCTTGCGAGATCGCGCTCCGTGTATTTGGGGTCCCTTTGAGGGGAAGGGGGAGGGGGGAGGAGGGGGAGAAAGATAGGGAGAGCTGAGGGAGGAGATAGGGGAAGGAGGTGGATGGATGAGGGGATGAGGAGGAGGAAGAGGCGGCAGCGGATGAGGAGGAGGAGGAGGCGGAGGAGGAGGAGGAGGAGGAGGAGGAGGAGGAAAAGGAGGAGGAGGAGGATGACGAGGAGGCGGAGGAGGAGGAGGAGGAGGAGGAGGAGAATAAGTAGGAGGAGGAGGCGCAGAGGCAATGATGAGGGCATCGGTGGTATTATCAGACACTGCCCGCATTCCAAGGTCCACGGCCGAATGACAGAGGAGGGAAGAGGACGCGACGAAGGAGTAGGAGGAGCAGGGGAGGAGGAGGATGAGGAGGAGGAAGAGGAGGAGGAGGAGGAGGAGGAGGAGGAGGAGGAGGATGTACGAGGACCGATGCGGATGTCTGAGGCGGTGTTGGGAGGGAGTCCCTGGGCGCTCCAGGGGCCCCTGGGCTCTGGGTTGCCCGAACTCCTGGACCTTCTCCGCCGCCTCCTCCTCTTCCTCCTTCGCAGCCCCCTCCGCTGGGGAACGAGGCTAAGCTCGACGATCCCCACTTCTCTTGGATCTGCGGGAAGGGCGTGGTGCAGCTGCTCCACGCGTGGGGCCACAGGCAGGCCCCGGAGGCGGAGGACCTCATGGTGACGGCCATGCGCTTGGACCCCTCGCGGGTGACCTCGCTATCCCGTCATTTGTCCTCCCCTCCCTCCCTCGCCCTCGTCTCCCAGTCAACCCAGTCATCTTCTGGTGTTGGGTCCTCGCCTTGAATCAGCAGCTCCCCGCGTTTCTCCCTCCTCTCCCTCCTCCCCCCTCGTCGCCGTCATCGTCGTCATCGTCATCGTCAGTGTCATCGTCATCTTCGTCTTCATTCGCAATATCAGCATGAACATCACCCGCATCATCATCACCAGTAGAAGCATCCTCATCACCATCACCATCACCACCAGCATTAGCATCAGCAGCATCATCATCAGCTTCAGCATCATCATCACCAGTATCTGCATCATCGCCCTTGTCATCATCATAAGAAGCAGGTAACAGCATCAGCATCAGCATTATTGGTATCGTCATCATCAACAGCACTGCCAGCACCATCATCATCATCAGCAGCAGCAACAACAACACCAGCATCAGCATCATTATCATCGTCATCATCATCAGTATCAGCAGCAGCATCATTAGCACCATCACCATCCGCAGTGCTATCAGCATCATCATCAGCAGCCATCACCAATCGTTTTCATCATCACCAATCATCTTCATCATAAGCATTAGCATCATCACCATGGCCATCACCATCGCAATCATTATTATCATCATCGCCATCATCAGCATCCGCAGCAACACCAGCATGACCGCCGCCATCATTATCATGATCAGGATCCGTAGCCATTTTGGCTCAAGGAATTTTGTCCCAAGCAAGTTGGGCTGACGTTTTTCGGCGTAAGCTGGAGACATTGTCAAAGGTATGCTGCGATGTCGGAGTTGTGCGATGTGGACCCCGAGAAAGTCCCTTCAAGGAAGAATGACAAAAACTGCGCTGGGCCGTGGTAGTTGCTCTCAGCGGGATGGTGTGGTAGATCGCAGTTCTAGCGTGGTGAGCCAGTCGCACTGGCGCGGAGGATTCTTCGATGGGGATGGAAGCGTCATGTGCAAGAGGTCTTCGAATTGTCTTTCACCAGCCTTATCCATCTCGGCATCCGTATGTTCTGGTGCATCACGCGCGATTTCCGCATTCCACCGTGAGTATGGAGGGCGCATATATGAGACCCCCTCTAGTTTGCAATGTCGTCCGAACCATCGGCCGGTTTGCCAGTGGCAACTCAACAGGGGAGAACAAGTGTTCATTGCGTTGGAAAACTTGTTGAGATGCGGATTATGCGTCAAGAGACCGCAGGCGGATTTGATACTCAGAAATCGGCATTTGTTTCCAGGGGTTGCTGGACAGGGGAAGCGCGTGAGCGCGGACATTCTGCAAGCCAGAGACAGTTTGAGACAGCGCTTATACGCTATACGAGCTGAGGGTCCGTCCACTCCGGTTCACATTTATGAGTCGTATTTCCATCAGTGTTCAAGCGAGGAGGCGAATTTGTACGCTTACGCTGCCGGGTTCTATGATGCTGATGGCTGTTTCTCTTGCCACACCCAACGCGGTAGATACTACTATCGTGTGGCAGCATACCAAAAGAACAGTTCTTTCTTGCAGGCCTTCAAAGCTGTCGTGCTGGTGGGGCTTGGAGGTGAAGTCTACACCAGCCCGCGAGGTGGCAGCGTTCTGTGTGTGTCTGGGCAGGCAGACGTGCTACATCTTTGCAGGAATATTCGCCCGTTTGTGGTCCATAAGATAGACCAGATCGAGGTAATTCTCAATTTGCCACCTTGCAAAGAGGCGAAGGAGCTTCTCCAGTCAATGCATGGCAATCAGGGCCTGCACAATCGCAAGTAGAAACAGCATATTTCCTGTCGCGTCTTTTTCGGTGCTAAGAGCTTGCACGACGGCCCAGGAGGCTTCCAAGATCGCCCCGAGACAATCCAAAGCGGGCCGTGTATGTGTTTGTGTAAAAATGCATGCTGTGTTGTACCTCGCGGGGGTTTTCCACGGAGGCTCGGGCCCGCACCGCTTCCGCGTCGGCCTCTGGAGCCGAGGCCGCGGACCTCTGTCTCGCAGCACTCTCGGCAGCAGAAGGCGGGCTCCCGTGTGTGCCCACCTTCGGCCCCCCGTCGGCGCCGCGCTCGACGGCTCGGAACCAGCAGGCACGGTACCCAACAAAGTCGAGCCAAAAAAAAAAAAATCATTATCATGATCAGGATCATCACCATCATCGTCATCAGCATCAACACTATCAGCATCAGCATAATCATCAGTATCATCAGTATCAGCATCATCATCATCATCATCATCATCATCATCATCATCATCATCATCATCATCATCATCATCATCATCATCATCATCATCGTCATCCTCAGTACCATCATCATCAAAATCATCAGCACCACCTCCATCACCATCACCATCATCATCACCATCATCAGTATCATTCTCATGATTATTATCATCATCAGCATTATCACCATCATCAACATCACCATCATCAGCATCAGCATGCTCTGCATGCTCTCCCCGAAACGTAGGCCAGTACCGTATGTATCATCATCAGCATAATCAGCATCACCAGTCACAATTCGGCACACCCCTCATACGCGTCGTGGCCCCATAGCGAGCTCCACTCAGGGCCACAGTGGGAGGGTTCGCACGGCGCCATCGCATCCGCTTCGGCGCATCCCTCTCGCCCGTCGTAGGCACAAAGGGAGCACCGCCGAAGGCCCCAACGGGAGGGTTTGCATGGCGCCATTGCGCCCATGTCGGCACATTTCTGTCACGCTTCGTGGCCCCATAGGAAGCTCCACCGAAGGCCACAGTGAGAAGCGTCGCATGGCGCCACCGCGTCCATTTCGGCACACCCCTCACGATCTTCGTGGCTTCAGGAGCTCCACCGATGGCCCCCGTGGGAGGGTTCGCATGGTGCCACCGTGCCCATTCCGGCACACCCCTCACGCTCTTCGTGGCCCCATAGGGCACTCCACCGAAGACCCCAGTGGGAGGGTTGCGTGACTGCGTCCGTTTTGGTACACCTCTCGCAAGTATCGTGGATGGAGCTCCACCGACGGCCCTGGCGGGAGGATTCGCATCGCGCCACCGCGCCCGCACACCCATCACACGCTCCGTGTTCTCATAGGGAGCTCCACCGAAGGCCCCAGTGGGAGGGTTCGCATGCCGCCGCCGCACCCATGCTGGCACACCCTTCACGCCCTTCGTGGCCCCTTCAGGAGCTGCACCGGAGGTCCCTTGGGAGCGTTCGCATTGCGTCACGCTCTTCGCGGCCCCATAGGGAGCTCCGAAGGCCTCATAGGGAGCTCCACCGAAGGCCCCAGTCGGCACACCCCGGCCCCACAGGGAGCTCCACTGCAGGCCCCAGCAGGAGTGTTCGCATGGCGCGACCGCGCCCATTTCGGCACAGCCCTCACGATCTCCGTGGCCGTTTTCAGGAGCTCCCCCGAAGGCCAAAGTGGGAGGGTTCAGATGGCGCCACCGCGCCCGTGTCGGCACACTTCTCACACGTCTCGTGTTCTCTCCCCTGTTGTCTCACTTGCCGCGCGATACTTGGAGGTGCACGTGGTTGGGCCCTTCGCCAGGATATGTTTGCGCTGGTTGGTTGCTGATTGTGTCTTTCTCTCTTTCTCTCCCTCTCTTTTTCTCGTTCTCTCCTTTTGTTTGTTTTATCTTTTTCTCTCTCCGTAACCAAGTTTAGTTGGAGTCTCGGCTCAAACATCCCTCGTGGTACTGCGCCTGGTAATCGACCCCCCCGCCCTCTGGCCTGGTGAGACTGGGCGCTATTCCGATAGCCACCGACGGGTTGTCCTCCTCTCTCCCCGTTCGCCCCCGCAGCCCTGCGCCAAAGAATCGGCGGCGAGCGAGCGGGGGGAAATGAGAAGGAGAAGGCCTTTATCGGAAGGCAGCGGGACTTCTCAGAAGCCCTCGCGCCTTCTGAGAGGTTGTTTGTTCTGTCTTCGCGGAAGGCTTTGATGAAAACCTCCCAGGCGGCGGGGGGGACTTCCGAGCCTTCTGAGCAGGCCAGCCCCGTCTCGCTTTCCCCCCTGGGCTCGCGGCCGACCTGCGCCCCAAGAAGGGCTTCATGGACTCTTACTGGACAGGGAGGACGTTGAGAAGGACCGGCGGGGGTGGACAGACCTCCTACCCCGACACGTCGATTAAGGAATTTGCCGTTTTCGGTTCGCGAGAGGGCGTCGCGGCCGTCATTTTTGCGGGTTCAGGTCCGTCGGTTTCGGTCCCAGGCCGTTTTCACGAAAGGGAGGTTTGCTGAAGGGAGGTCTGTCCACCGCCGAGACCGCGCCCCGCGCCCCCCGCCCGCCAGAAGTTGCGTACTTCGCGCGGGGGGCCAGCCTGCGCCGAGGCCCTCAGGGCTGCACGGGGCTGATCGCACCACACCAGCAAGCGACTGAGCAGTGCCAGGCCCGCTGGAGGCCGACCGCGTCGACATCGAGCACGGCCCACGGGGCTGAGGAAGGGCTCTCCAGCGTCCCTGTGGTCAGCGCGGTGCCAGCAGGAAGCACGCTCACCATCGACCTCCAGGCCGACCTGTCACCTGTCCCGCGACCCGCTCCCGCAGCCAGTCCCCAGGCCGCCGCCCGAAGGCGAGGACAATGACCCATCCTCCAGACCCCGACTACGCCGACCACACCACGGGGTGTCTCCGGCTACGCGGCCACCGACGGCACGTGCTCACATCAAGAGCGCCCGCTGCTCGCCAGAGCTGCTTACAGCATCGAATGCGGAGCCGGGCACGGCGTGAACTACAGCCAAGACGGTGAAACAAGGACTGCTTTGGGCTCAGTGTGGGCTCGGATTTTCGGGTCGTTCCTTGGGTTTGTGTCCTGGAGCCTGTTTGTGGCCTAGGATAGGCCCTAGGCCCGCCGTGGCCAGAAAAGCCTTTTCGTTCCACTATGCGCTCATTCGGGTAGCACGATGACTGCATGCTGTCACAGAGCGCCCAGCGCGCCGAGACACTGGCGCTCCTGCGTCACACCTCCACGGCGGAGCACCCTGCTCACAGAGTCGTCGACAGCGAAGCCGTGGTTGACGGGTTCCAGGCCTTGCCATCGCTCGCGGACCGCCCCCTCTACAGTTGGCTTCTGCAGCGACTTGTGCGGCCCCCGTTCACCGCGGCGTCCCGGTGAAACTTGGGATGCTCCGTGCCGAAACTGTTCGACACGATGGTTTTTCTGCTCCTTCGGCCCCAGAAGGTGTGTAGTGAAGGCCATCCTGGCCAGGCCGGCGCCGAGGCCCGGCCCGGTCTCGGCCACGGCCGAAGACCGGGCTAAGACGAGCTGGCCACACTGCTGCGGTCGAGCGGCCCAGCTGCCCGGCGGAGGTCGCGGAAGCCGCCAGATGGCGAAGCCGATGGTGGGGCCTGCTTTCCACCACCACCATAAGTTGGAGGAGGATGAGGAGATGGAGGAGGAGGAGGAGGAGGAGGAGGAGGAGGAGGAGGAGGAAGAAGACGAGGGGGAGGAGGACCCCCTGAGCCCTGCCCCTTGTGGTGGTGGTGGTGGAAAGCAGGCCCACCAGCCGGTTCTCACCACCCACCAGGCCACCCCCAGCCAACCCGAAGGACCCCCAGTAGGTAGTCAGCCCCGCAGCGTCGCACGCACGACCATCGGACGCGCACCCTGCCACTCACACACCGCCGCGCGGGCTGCACCGAAGGGGAGCTTCGTCGGAGGAGCCCTCGCCCTGCGGGCGCCCGGGGTCCGCCTGCGCCTTGTCGACGGACGCCCTCCAAGCAGGCGTCCACATCTCTGGCCAGCGAGGGCTCAGAGCTTGAGGGATGTCGGCGGCCAGGCCGGCCCCCTGCGTGGGTGGCCGACAGAGCCCCGCGCCAGACCAGACCCGCAAGGACAGGGCCTGCAGGTGGCTGCAAGGGCACCATTGGCTTCGATAGCGTACAAGACAGCCCAAGATCAGTTTTTCCAACCGTCCTGTGGTGTTGGGTTCTCACTTCGAAGAGACAGCGCGCCGCGTTTCCTTTCACTTCTGCTCACCGTTTTCGGGCTCTCGGGGCCCTCCACGGGCCCCGGGACTGCCAGATAACGACTCCAGAGGAAGAGCTGGCTTTGGGGCAGGACCCGCTTCCCCCATGTCAGCTCCAGTTCGGGGACCTCGCTTTTGAGTTGAAGATGCAGATGCAGGCGGCCCTCTCCGCCGATGCCCAAACGCTCCGCACTGCGCTCGCCCAAGCGACCAGCTGCGGGTCGAGCCTGCCGTCGGGCCCCTCAGGCCTCGGCAGGCGTCATCCGCAAACGGCATCTATACACCACCACCGTGCCTGGCCAGAGCCATCCTGGGCCACACTTTGGTGAATGCGCCCTCCTGGCATCGGGGCCAGGTGGGCGTACACACCATGCCAGGGCCCAGGCTGGCCCTGGGCCAGCCACGGTGGTGGTGTATAGATGCTTTCTACGCATGTCACCCCCACCTCTGGTGCCTCTGCGCCCGTCGGGCCAGCCTGGCAGGGTGGCCGTGGGAGACGCTCGGCCCCCGCGAGGGCTACCTCGCGGGGGATCCGCCCCGCGGGCGTGGCGGCAGCACTTCCACGCTGCCGCTGCCACCCGGCTGCGTCCCCACCGGCTGCGGGTTGCTCGGTTCCGCTGCGAGGCTCGGATCTCGGGGCCTATCTCTGCCGTGCGTCTTATTCAGCATCGTTTAACCAATCCCTATCCCCATCCCCTTCGAGGCCCCCACCAAATTACCTCCCCAGTTGGGGATGCACCCCTCGAATCCCGAATGGAGCGGCCCATAATATGGGGGGTTACATCGGTCAGTGGGACTCAGGCCACGCCGCCGAAGGGAGCGGCCCATAATATGGGCCCCATATCCCCATCTAGGGGGTTACATCGGCCAGTGGGACCCAGGCCACGCCGCTGGGGATGGGGATCGGTCAAACGACACTCACTTCTCGCCTCCTCTCGATCCTCGCTTGATTTCGCAGTGGCAGCCGATGCTCAAGCGCTGGGCGCGCGCGTCGCTGGACCAGGCGGCGCCTGGACTCCGCCCGCGACGGCGGGGGGGGCGGCTGTCGTGCCTGCGTTGGCCTGCCAGCGCAGACGCCACGACACTCCCCGACGCCCTATCGGTGCGGTCCCACAGGCTTGGCATCGCTCGGAGATTTGCATGCTTTTTCGGCGAGGACCATTGAGGAGCACCTTGGATCTCTACGGAAAAATGAACGCACAAAGCCGAAGAATGCACGGGGAATGGACGTCCGAGCGATGGCAAGTAGGCCTTTCGGGCACGGCGGAGCTTCGCTGGGCGGGTCCCCCAGCCATCACCCACGCGGGGTTGGCCTGCCCAACGTCATTTCTGATGTCCAGTTCTGATGTCCCCTCTCTCTCTCTCTCCTTCTCTCTCTCCCTCGATCTCCCTCCCTCTCCCTGAGCGACCTGCCACCAGAGGCTCGCGCAGCGCCGCCGGGCGGGCTCGCGAGACGGGGGGGGGGATGGATCGGGCACCGAGGGGGGTGGGGGCAGCGGGCAGGAGCCGTCGCCAGCGGGCGTGGAGCCAGGGATGGATCGGGCACCGGGGGGGGTGGGGGGGAGCAGCGGGCAGGAGGCGTCGGCAGCGGGCGGGCAGCGCAGGGCGACGGAGTTGGGCGGGGCAGGGCGGAGAGGGGGACACCGCGGCGCGGCCTGGGTGCACGGCCAGATCGTCCGGTGGCCCTTGCTCCCGCTGATGCGGCTGCTCCGGCGGCGACGGCGACGAGCCCTGAGCGACGGACAACGACGACGACGACGACGACGACGACGACGACGACGACGACGACGATGGACGCCGAATGGCGACGACGACGACGACGACGACGACGACGACGACGACGACGACGACGACGACGACGGACGCCGACGACGACGACGACGACGGACGACGACGACGACGCCGACGCCGACGCCGACGCCGACGCCGACGACGACGCCGACGCCGACGCCGACGCCGACGCCGACGCCGACGCCGACGCCGACGCCGACGCCGACGCCGACGCCGACGCCGACGACGACGACGACGACGACGGACGCCAACGCAGGACGCAGGACGGAAAACGCACAACAAACGGCGAGCGACGGCGATGACAACCTCCTGCGAGGACCCCTCGAGACGGCCCACGGCGGATACCCTCCTGGAGCACCCGTGGCTGGAACCCGCGAGAGACGACCTTACGGCGAACGACAGAGGACCTCCTCGGACCCCCTCGAACCTCCTCCTGATCCTTCTCTCTTCCTTCTCATCCCCCTTCCCCTCTCATCCTCCCCCTCGTCCCCTTCTTTCTCATCTCTATCGTCGTCATCCTCCTTCTCCTCCTCAGTGAGGGAGAGAGACAGAGAGAGAGAGAGAGAAAAAACAAAACAATAACATCACACATAGCTTGATTTGTATATGTGCATACTGACATTCACATATGGTTCTATGCATATATATATAGATATAGTCGGCAGCCAAATATCTATATTTTCTTAGTCAAGTTCATATACAGAGAGATCCACCAATGCAGAAGGGGAGTGTGAGAGAAAGAGAGACAGTGGCAAAGAGAAGGAGAGAGCGAGAAAGAGGGAGAGACTCAGAGTATGGAGATGGAATGCGGGAGAGAGAGAGAGAGAGAGGGAGATTGGGCGAGACAGCGAGACGGCGAGACAGAGATGTAGAGAGACAGGGACGGCCGGGCCAAGAGACGCGGCCCCACCCGACGACGGGCGCGACCCCCGCCCGAGGAGCCCCGGTGGCCGGCGCCACCGCGCCGGCGGCGGCCCGTGCCGCCGGGCCGGCGCCGGCGCCCGAGGCCCGCGCGGAGCGCTGCGCGGAGGAGGCCTTCGTGCCCAGCGGGGGGGGCGGCCTGGACGGGGACTTCTACTGCGCGCCCGCGGCGAGGCGGGGCGCGGCGGAGGCCGAGGCGCCGCCGGGCGGAGGGGGAGCCGGGCCGGGTGCTGCCAGAAGTGTAGCCCTGGCCCCGGGGTGCCCCCAGGAGATGCTCGGGGTGGCCCAGACGGCCTCCAGGGCTCCCCTCGCGAGGCCACCAGGGGCCCCAGGGGCCCCAGGTGTGGAGCGAGAAGCTGGGGGCACCTTGGGCCAGGGGTGCTTCTCTAGCAACGCCCGACAGCAGTGGCGAGGCGTCCTGGCTTGCCGAGAGGGCTCACCACCAAGGATAGTGCTCCCAGAACCTTTGGTGTAGTTTGCACGGAGTGTTCTCAGAGCGTGGCTGGCTGAGGCCGTCGTGTTCTCGTACATCGGCTGTATGTGCTAGGAGCATTGTTTTTGCTTGCGAAGTACTCCCTTGTGCCAAGAACATGTCAAGGAAGGCCTATAGGAATGCCCGGACGGTCAGTTCCTGCTCAACGAGGGGAGGAAGGAGCATCCACCGCCAGAGGGTGCCCATGTCCACCGCTTGCGAGTCACGCCCTGAGATCTTGAGGAGTGGCGTATCCGGACAGCTGCCCGTCGGTCCCCGAGTCCTGGGGCACGACCTCGCGGCAGTGGACACTGGACATCATCTAGCGGCTCAGAAAAGGCACTGATCCCGCTACCCGTCTGTCGTTGTTTCGCTTTTTAGGCCTCCTCGAGGCCCTCGTCGGCTGGATTCGCTTTGAAATTCAGGCCAGGACGCACCCCATGAGAGGTCCGCGGAGTGGCTGTACCAGTACATTTGACCCAACCGTCCTGTGGTGTTGGGTTCTCGTTTTGATCGGCACAGCATCCCGCGCGTCCTCACTTCACCTCCCCAGGGCAGGGCTCGCATGGGGGCTGCGCCCATTGTGGCACACCCCTCACGAGGGTCGTGGCCCCGTGGGGAGCTCCACCGAAAGCCCCATCAAACGATGGCGTCAGCGTTGTCATCTGGCCTGTGCGAGCCCATCAGCAGCATCGACCCCCTGCTCCTCGTGCGTCGGCTGTCTGCCAGAGCCGCGCCGACAGATGCGCAGACCAGCCGCGACGGGTTACATCCAGATGTAACCACCCGTAACTCTTTCTGGCTGACCTCTTTCACTGAGCGCGTTCCACTACTCGCAAAGTGCCTGCCCGCAGACGTCCGAGAAACACAGGCGTGCCTCGATGTAGTGGATTGTGATTCCCCCGCGGCGGATCCAGGCCATTTGCGAGTAGCTACTTTGCGAGTAGTGGAACGCGCTTGTCCACTCTTCTGGCCCCATCACAGAACCGCTTCGTCATTTTCACCCGCGCCCTGGCCATGCTGCTCGCCCCATCCTCAGTTTCCACCTGCCTTGCGGTACTCGCATGCAAATTGTTGCGTCTTTCGTCGGGCAGACTGTTCCTCCCACCAGCGTGCCTCCCAGAGCTCCAGGGGAGCCAGTGAACGTGGCATGATGGTGCGATCCAGAGTGTCCAGGCTTCCCCGCTTTTCCCCGTCCAGGGCACCTGTGCCGTGACGGCTGCTCGTGGCCACCCCATTTTCGGCGGCGGGCCCAGGGGGGAAATGAGAAGGGGCGAGCCTTCACAGAAGGCTTGGAAGTCCCCGGGCCTTCTGAAGTTGTCTAAGCCTTGCCTCCCCGAAGACAGACAACTTTTCAGAAGGTCAGAGAGATCTTCTGAGAAGCCCCTCCGCCTTCTCAGAAGGCCTTCTCCTTCTCATTTGCCCCCTCGCTCGCCGATGATATTTTCAAGCTGGCCAAAGAATGTAGACGCTTCTCCCCTTTCGCACGGCTGCTGCTGCTTGGATGTGTGTCGAGGACAAAAATCCTGCGGCCGAGGCGTCCTGGCTCGGCGAGGGGGGCCTGCTGGGCGACCCGTACGGGTCCCCCGGCGCCCCCTTCGACTTCGACGGCGGCTGCGACCCGTACGGCTTCGCTGGCCTCGAGCCCATGCGGTGCGCGGCGCAGCCCTCGCTGGCGGGCGGGGCGCCGCTGGGCGGGCTGTACTGCGACGCCGGCGAGGCAGATATGAGGGAGGGAGGGAGCCGAAGGATGGAAGAGGAGGGGGAGGAAGGGGAGGCGGAGGAGGAGGAGGAGGAGGAGGAGGAGGAGGAGGAGGAGGAGGAGGCGAGGGCGAGGCAGAGGAAGTAGGAGGAGGCGAGGGCGAGGCGGAGGAGGAGGAGGAGGAGGAGGAGGAGGAGGAGGAGGAGGAGAAGGAGAAGCAGGAGGAGGAGGACGAGGAGGAGGAGGCCGACGAGGAGGAGAAGGAGGAGGAGGAGCAGGAGGCGGAGGAGGAGGCGGCGAGGGCAGAGCCGCCGAGGTTTGCAGGGGCTCGCCGAGGAGCGGCCCGGTGGAGCGCTTCCACCACGGGCAGCCCGCACCGCCGCTGCCTCCCGACGACCTCTTCCGGCTGGCCGGGCGGGCTCGTCCCTCCCCATCCCTCAATCATCTGGACGCCCGAAATGGGTGCGGAAAGAATGGGTGCAATGCCCAACAGCAGTTCCTGTCCATGTTGAACAGGACTCGCTGTCCGCGCCGCCGCGGCCTGTGTTCATTCGAGGCAGAAGGCCGCCTGCCCAACAGCGGCCGCTGTTGGATTGGGACAACATTTGCTGTTGGGCATTGTGCCCATTCTTTCCGTGCCCATGTCGGGCGTCCAAAGAGCAGTGGCGAAGCGTCCTGGCGTGCCTATAGGCCTACCAAACAATGTTCGAGCAAACCTGTCTGTGGTTTGCACGACATGTTCTGAGAACATTCCTGGCTGGGAGTGTCTTGCTCTAACACATCGGGTTCTGAGAATATTGTCTTGTTATTAGAACATTGTTGGGTTCTAAGAACATGTCGTGGTAGGCCTATAGGAATGCCGGGACGGGCGGTCCCTGCTCAACATCTCATCCCCACCGGGCCGTGGTATCTCAGCCCTACCATCCCACCCCCTTGGGGGAAATACCCTGCGAGACGCGAGGGGAACAGCATATATCCCCATCCAGGGGGGGGGCAAGTCGGCCAGTGGGACCAAGTCAACGCCAGTGGGAATAGGGATCGATTGACCGATGCTCAGTCCCGGCCCCGTGTCGGCGCTGCTCTACCACCAGGGCGCGCCCCTTCGGCGTTCGAGCACAGATGTCAGAGCAGGAAGATACATATACACCGCTACCCTTCCCTCGTCGCGAGGGCTGGGTTCGCTCCTAAATTCTGGTCAAAACGCTCCCCTGCATAGGTCAAGAGAGCAGTTGTATTTGTACATGTTTGTTTCCCCACCTTCGGAATTTGGTCACAGATCCGGGGCGTCCAGGAGAGTCTCCTTTCGTCGTTCCTTGGCAGTTTTCTGGCCTCGGGGCACCTTCCAGCAGTTGCGCCTCGCCGAGAGCGTTCCGGCCCGGATCGTCCCGAACGGCAGCTGGAGGTCCGAGTCCTGACCCGAGGGGGGGAGTGCTGACATCATGGCTGGGGCTGCGGCATCTCCCAGAATTCATGGCGCCCCCTCTTCTTCTTCTCCTTCTTCTTCTTCTTCTTCTTCTTCTTCTTCTTTTTCTTCTTCTTCTTTCAAACTGTTCCCTGGCCACCCCTTGTTCGCGCGCATGCCGCGTTTTATGATGCGCACCCCCCCCCATTCCTCTGCCTCTTCCTGGCCCTGGACCCCCTCCTGGTCCTGGACCCCTGGTCCTGGTCCTCTGCCTCTTCCTGGCCCTGGACCCCCTCCCGGTCCTGGACCCCCTGGTCCTGGTCCTCTTCCTCTTCCTGGTCCTGGACCCCCTCCTGGTCCTGGTCCTCTTCCTCTTCCCCTTCCTGGTCCTTGGACCCCCTCTTCGGCGCACCCGAGACCCTTCTGTGAAACCTCAGAACATGGCGATTACCGCCAACGACCGCCCAGAACCGCCGAGTACCTCCGACGGCGTATGGGCCCGGATGGGGAACGCGGAGTCCATGATCGAACGCGTGACATCCCCCCAGACTTCGATCCCAGCGTGTTTACCCAGTTTCGGAGTCTGGGGGTTCGTTTTCGGGCCCCAGGGGCATCAGAATCGATCCACTACCCCTGGGGAAGTGGCTAGGATCTCCTGGGGCCCGCGCAGCACGCAGAAATCAATCCATCGGACGTCTGGATTCAGACCGACTGCTGCGGAGTCGTGCCTCGGGACCCCAAGTGGGGGATGTGGATGCCATGCCCGCCTCTGCGTGGGCTGGATGGCACCCTCGTCCACCGCTCCCTGGCGACCCGCGGGGGAGGCTGCGGATGTGGATGTCTCTCCCCCGACCTTGCAACTCTCTCGTGGCGTCTTCTCCCGCAGCAGCGTCGACCAGTTCCCTGGTGCCGGCTTCTTGTCCCGAGCCGTCTTCTGCTGGTGAAATGACGAAGCGACTATGACGATATTTCACCGACGAGAAGCAAGTATGAGCGAAGCTACGAAATGACGAAACGACGAACCGATTACGAACACCAGCGAGTTTCTCATCCCACGAGGCCGAAAGCAACGAAAGGCTGGTCGTCGCGGCTTCCGCTACGACGCCCCAATCTGGGGGGTCCCTGGCGGTTCGGGGGTCTCCCCCCTCGGCAGGGCCCTCCCCGAGAGGGGTCGGCAGGTGGCGCCAAAAAAAGAGGAGCCGCCTCTCTCGAGGCGGCTCTGCCCAGGGCGGTCGTCGTCGGCCTGGGGTTTGGATGAGCCGGCTTGGGGGGGGGGGGAGCAACATCAAATCACAAGACAGGTCGCCGCTTGGGCCCCACCGCCAGCCCAAACGGCGAGCAGAAATCGGGCGCAGCCCCGCACGCATTCGAATGCCCACACTTCGTCCTCGTACTACTCGTATTCCTCCCCGTCCTCCTCCCCGTCCTGGTCGTCGTCGTCCTCCTCCTCCTCGCATTCCTCATCCTCCACATCTTCCTCGTCTTCCTCCTGCTCCAGCTCCTCCTCGTCGTCCTCGTCTGGGCCATCGTCCTCATTTGCCCCCTTCCTCCTCCTGCTCATCCTCCTCCTGGCACCTCGGTCCTCATAAAACAGTCTCCTATCGGTTGCGCCATGGATTGCGCGAGAATAACACCGTCTCGTATCGGGTGCGCCATAGGTTGCGCCCTCGGCGGCCGAGAATAAAACCGTCTCCTATCGGTTGCGCTATAGGTGGCGCCTTCGGCGGCCGAGAGTAAAACCGTCTCCGATCGGTTGCGCCATCGGTTGCGCCCTCGGCGGCCGAGAATAAAACAGTCTCCTATCGGTTGCGCCATAGGTTGCGCCGTCGGCGGCCGAGAATCGTCTCCGATCCGTTGCGCCATGGATTGCGCCCTCGACGGCCGAGAATAAATGCGTCTCCTATCGGTTGCGCCATAGGTTGCGCCGTCGGCGGCCGAGAGTAAAACCGTCTCCGATCCGTTGCGCCATGGATTGCGCCCTCGACGGCCGAGAATAAATGCGTCTCCTATCGGTTGCGCCTTCGGCGGCCGAGAGTAAAGCCGTCTCCGATCGGTTGCGCCATAGGTTGCGCCCTCGGCGGCCGAGAATAAAGCCGTCTCCGATCGGTTGCGCCATAGGTTGCGCCCTCGGCGGCCGAGAATAAAACCGTCTCCGATCGGTTGCGCCATAGGTTGCGCCTTCGGCGGCCGAGAATAGCATCGTCTCCGATCCGTTGCGCCATGGATTGCGCTCTCGACGGCCGAGAATAAATGCGTTTTCTATCGGTTGCGCCATAGGTTGCGCCCTCGGCGACCGAGAGTGAAACCGTCTCGTATCGGTTGCGCCATAGGTTGCGCCCTCGGCGGCCGAGAGTAAAACCGTCTCCTATCGGTTGCGCTATAGGTTGCGCCCTCGGCGGCCGAGAATAAATCAGTCTCCTATCGGTTGCGCCATAGGTTTCGCCGTCGGCGGCCGATAATAACATCGTCTCCGATCCGTTGCGCCATGGATTGCGCCCTCGACGGCCGAGAATAAATGCGTCTCCTATTTGTTGCGCCATAGGTTGCGCCCTCGGCGGCCGAGAACATGCGTCTCCTATCGGTTGCGCCATAGGTTGCGCCCTCGGCGGCCGAGAGTAAAACCGTCTCCTATCGGTTGCGCCATAGGTTGCGCCCTCGGCGGCCGAGAATAAAACCATCTCCTATCGGTTGCGCCATAGGTTGCGCCCTAGGCGGCCGAGAATAAAACCATCTCCGATCGGTTGCGCCATAGGTTGCGACCTCGGCGGCCGAGAATAAAACCGTCTCCGATCGGTTGCGCCATAGGTTGCGCCTTCGGCGGCCGAGAATAAAACCGTCTCCGATCGGTTGCGCCATAGGTTGCGCCCTCGGCGGCCGAGAATAGCACCGTCGCGTAATGGGTGCGACCAGTCAGTTCAGTTCGGTTCACTTCAGTTCAGTTTAGTTCAGTTTTCCTCGCGAGAAACAAATTCGGGGTAAGCCCGAAACACATCAGAGCAGCGCGGGGTGATGTTGATACTGATTATGAGGGTGATGATGGTGTTGATGAGGAGGCGGAGTAGGAGGAAACTGATGAGGATGATGCGGATGAGGATGAGGGTGAAGATGATGAGGATGAGGAGGATGATGTTGCTGATGGTGATGATGCTGATGATGGTGGCTGCGGTGGTGATGCTGATAAGTATGATGCTGATGATGATGGTGATGTTGATGGTGATGGTGATGACTATGGTGATGATGGTGATTATGGTGGTGGTGATGACGATGCTTACGATGGTGACAACGACGACAATGATGGTGGTGATGGTGATGGTGATGATGACGATGACGATGACGATGACGAAGATGATGATGATGATGATGATGATGATGATGATGATGATGATGATGATGATGATGATGATGATGATGATGATGATGATGATGATGATGATGATGATGAAGATGAAGATGAGGATGATGAGGATGAGGATGAGGATGATGACGATGAGGATGACGAGGATGATGAGGATGTATTGTGGTGATGGGGATCATGAGGATGATGAGGATGATGAGGATGCTAATTATGAGATTGGTGATGATGATGATGTCGGTGGTGGTGGTGGTGGTGATGGTGCGTGTGACGATGGTAAGTCTGATGCTGCTGGTGATGATGATGATGATGATGATGGTGGTGATGGTGATGGTGCTGGTGATTGTGATGATGATGGTGATGATGATGATGCTGATGGTGGTGGTGATGGTGGTGGTGATGGTGCTTACGATGGCGACGGCGACGACAACGACGACACTGATGATGTTGATGAAGATGATGATGGTGAGGGTGCTGATGATGATTCTAATGAGGATGATGATGATGATAATGAGGGTGAGGATGATGACGACGATGACGATGGTAATGATGATGGCGGGGACGCTGATGACGATTCTAACCGTGATGATGCTGCGGATGAGTTTAATGATGACTACGATGATAGTGATGATGATGTCGATGATGGTGACGACGATGATGATGCTGGCGAAGATGACGGAGATCATGGTGATGACGATGATGAGACAGTTGATGGCGAAGATGGTGGTGATGATGCGTGTGATGATGCTAAGTATAATGGCGATTATGATACCAATGATGATCATGTGGTTGATGATGATGGGGATGAGGGTTGTGATGTTGATGGTGATGATGATGATGATGAAGATGCTGCTAATAATGATGGCGATGGTACTAGATGTTATGAGCATGATACTGAGGATGACGATGGCGATACGATGACGATGACGATGATGCTGATAATGCTAATGATGCTGGTAATGATGGTGCTGATGATGCTGATTGATGGTGCTGATGCTGCTGATGATGGTGATGTTGGTGAGGCTGACGAAGATGACGACGGTGATGATGCTGATGAAGTTGGTGATGGTGGTGATGATGATAATGATGATGGTGAAGATGCTGGTGGTGATGGTGAGGATGATGATGGTGATGGTGTTGATGGTGATGCTGCTGCTGATTATCGTGAAAATGGTGATGATCATGATAATGATGAGGATGAGTCAGTTCAATGCTACCATGTCTTCTTACTCTCCCGCGTCTTCAGAGACGAGAATGGCCGAGCATGGATTGCCGAGGGCCGCCAGCAACTCCATGACTCCCAGAAAGTATCCTTAGCCAATCGCATCATGACAGTGTGTTCATCGAAACGTAGTATCGTGACAACCGCAACCTCAGAGGCTTACTTGGCCCCGATCTGAGCCCCAATGGCTCCAGACGGTGATAACATTGAGACGCCTGGCTCTCTAGGAGGGGACCCTGCACAAGTTCCACAACAGATCAAGACTGGGAGCTCCCGACCCCATCTTTGTGTGCTATCATGTTGCGGTGCTCGCAGACTCACTGCCTGCGCTCGCAGACATTGCTGTGATCGCAGGGTATCGTGGCCCTGGCAGGGCCCAGCGCTCATTCATGGAGCGGTCGCAGGCAGTTGTGGTATTGGCACGGTCCTGCTTCCGTCGCCTGGCAGTCGCAAGCACATTGAATGCGGAGCTCGCAGGCGTGCCCTGGTGTCCACAGGCCATTTTTGCGCTGACGAATGACGAAGGGGACGAGGAGGGGGAAGGGAGGAGGGAACATAGAGGTGTTTACAAGCTGGTGTGGACAGGCTCATGGTATGTGACGTGCCCAGGCACGTGGCGTTCACAGGCACGTCGCGGAGTCCGCATGTCCCCATGGTGTTCATCGGCATTTCGTGGCGCTCGTAGACACGAACTGTCAAGATCCAGCATACTGTTGTGCATACGTGTGTTACAATCATCAAGCGTCGTGGTGTACATAGGCAGTCCGTGAACACAGGCACTGTGGGAAAACATCCAGGGACCGTGCCCGAGCCAGAAAATCACATATCACGAAGACTCACACATTGAATTTGATTTGATACGTCGCCCCCCCCCCCCCCCCACGATTTTCCGGATTTTGGTACCGTCGGGACCCTGAAGGAGCACGTAGGGTTTGTGGTTGGTCTACACGGCGTTGTGGTGCACACAGACGACGCTGACGCAGCAGATGCAGTGCATACAGGTGTTGCTGTGTACACAAGCGTTGGTGTGCACACGGCTGCTGTGGTGTACGCAGGCATTATGGCGTACGCAGGCGCTGTGGTGCAAGCAGATGTTGCTGCTCCAGCAGCGGCTGTATTTGGCACACGCATAGTGGTATGAACACGCATTGCGGTTCACACATCCACCGTGGTGTGCACTGGCGTTGTTGTGCTCGTAGGCCCTCACCCCCGGCGCGCGTGGGGGGGGCGATGCAAGGGGGGGTGGCCGGGGGGTGAATGACGCACGCCCAGTGTGCCGGGGATGCGTCGCGCTATCCTTCCCCCTCCCGCCTCCCGCCCCCTGCCCCCGCGCGTCATCCATAACTGGGCCATGAGTGGGAAGCAGGGCCTCAGGAGGTCGTTCGGGACTGGTCCAGCCTCCCCAGAAGGCTCTCGACGAGGCGCAGCTGATGGAATCCAGTCTGTGGCCAGAAAACCCGCAGGATTTCACGAACAAGCAAAGGGAAACTTCAAAGGCCTACGAGACCTCTTCAAGGATGTCCTCTCTGGGTACTTCTGGGTGCCTCCATGGCTCCAGGAGACCAACAGATACAAAGCACGTTTGACAACTTTGGACCTCGATCATCGATCCTCTTCTTCTCCTCCCCTTGAACATCCTCTCAGAACCTGTCCCTCCACCCATCCAGGCATCCATGCTATCCCGTTTGTCCAGCTGGGTCCAGCAGAGGCGACGAGAAGCTCCAGAAGCATCCAAAAGACCTCAAGACGACGATGTCGTCGACGAAGAATCGGGGGATGAGGATGAGCATGAGGATGCGCTCTCTGACCCTGGATCCGGATCCCTTGAGGTCCCTGCAGGTGCCTGAAGTCCCCTGGAGCCCGACAAGGGTCCCAAAACGCTTCCGAACCGACGACTTCTTCTGCAGTGATGGCACCGGCGACCAACATCTGTTCAAAGTCAGGCCCCAGACCCCACCTGGCGTCCGTCCTGCGCAAGCTTTCATATCAGATCGATGCTTGACAGCACCAGGGCCCGAAGCCGTCCTCCAGTGGCCGAAAACTCAGAGAAGACGTGCTCGAATCTCGGTTTGATCGAGGACGCCCTTTAGACTTCATTTCCTTCGAGGTTCAATTCAGCATCGGCTCCAGATTTTCCACTGGCCTAACGAATCCTGCATAATCTGGCTCGATACAGTGCTTGTCCCAAGAATTTCCTCTCCACGCCTTTTTCAAGTAATTCAGATGACGGTTCAGACATGCCTAGGGGGCCCGTCACGCAGCAGCGCCTTGGGCGACGATCAATCAATTGGATTACGGGCCTGCCCGTAGGCGTCGTCGCCGTCGGCACTGAGATTGTTTAATCGTTCTCTCTGCAATGTTTCCCAGCTGCAGAAACTATGTTTCACCTCGTTCCCACCCTTTGATGGCCAACCGTTTATCGGCCACGCGGCTGGGACATGAAATCTCTTCGTCCTTATGGGCAGACCCGGGAACCTGTATCTACCCGGGATGCGACTGTTTAGCTCGCAACCCAGTTCTTTCGCTCTCTCCGTTTTCCTCTCCTCCTCCTCCTCCTCCTCCTCCTCCTCTTCCTCCTCCTCCTCCTCCTCCTCCTCCTCCCTCCTGCTCCTTGTCGTCCTTCTCATCCTTGGCTGGTGCTCTTCCTTCTGCTCCTTGGCTGGAGCTTCGAACGGTGAATTCCCACTCGCTCAGTGGTGCATCTGGATTGGATTGGAAAACAAGTTTGATTGGATTGGATTGGAACAAAAAAACAAGTTCGTTCCCACCACCAGGCCCCCGGTGCCCGAGGCCGCCCGCGCGTCCCTCCCCCGCCAGTTCTGGGCGGACGGGCCTCCGTCCTCCTTCCTCCTCCGCGGACGCCTCTCCTCCTCCTCCTCCTCCTCCTCCTCCTCCTCCTCCTCCCTCCTCCTCCTCCTCCTCCTCCTCCTCCTCCTCCTCCTCCTCCTCCTCCTCCTCCTCCTCCTCCTCATCCTCCTCCTCCTCCTCCTCTCCTCCTCCTCCTCCTCCTCCTCCTCCTCCTCCTCCTCCTCCTCCTCCTCCTCCTCCTCCTCCTCCTCCTCCCCCTCCTCCTCCGCCTCCTCCTCCTCCTCCCCCTCCTTCTCCTCCTCCTGTTCTTTTCCACCTGTCCCTGCGCTCCGTGCCCAGCGCGGCCCGCCAGAACCGACCCCCGCGCCATCGTTCGCCAGCGCCGCCAGAAAAATAACAACCTGCGTTTCGTCGCCTTCCTGAATTATTACGGCGGGGGCGTTCGTCAAGGAATCTGCCGGTGAGGTTTCAGATCCTGGGGGAGTCCTTATCTGATGACGGCGGCGGTGCTATCCATGGCCAGTCCTCGATTTGAGCTCCACCGGCTTCCAGACCCTGGGTTCCTTATCCAGTGGTTCGTTATCCAATGCCTTGCCCAGACATCGGGCCGCTCCAATCTTTTGGATGCGTGGGCCCCAGAGGTCTGGACCACTTCCCTAGGGCCTGTTCGTCCGGAGTCGTGTCTTTGACGGTCCCGAGGCCCGGTGAGGGCCCCCCAAAACTGAAAAGGGTCCTAAACCCGTTGCTCCAATTTTTGGGGAGCGTCGGATCTCTGAGTAGTTTTCTCCGGCACTCACCTGCCGAGGTTGGAGCGGACCAGCTTCGCGGTGGAGGGCTCATGCGCGGCGGATGTGGGCGACCGCCTCGTGGACTTCCTGGCGGCCGCGAGGGGCGTCACCGTCACCCGCGTGGACGCCGCGCAGTACTCCATCCGCGCCGAGGTCCAGACACCTCGATGCTCCTCCTCGATGCTCCTCCTTCTCGACCCTCCTCCTCCTCCTCCTCCTCCTCCTCCTCCTCGATCCCCCTCCTCGATCCTACTCGATCCTACTCGATCCTCCTCCTCCTTCTCCTCTTCCTCGTCCTCCACCTCCTCCTTCTCCTCCTCCTCCTCCTCCTCCTCCGCCTCCTCCTCCAGCAGCGCCGGGGTCCAGACACCTCGATGCTCCTCCTCGGTGTTCCTCCTCGATCCTCCTCGATCCTCGACCCTCCTCCTTCTCCTCCTCCTCTTCTTCATCATCTTCCTCCTCCCTTCCTCCCTCCCTCCCTCCCTCCGGCCCTCCCTCCTTCCTCCTCTTCCTCGATTATCCTCGCTCTCCTCGATTCTCCTCCTCGATCCTCCTCGCTTGTCTCCCGAGGAGACGGGGGAGGAGGAGCATGTTTGAGGTTTTTTTGGGGGGGAGGTCTCCAGTCTCCAGAGAAGGAGGAGGAACGTGTCAGAGTTTTGTTGTGGGTGTCTACAGGGGAGGAGGAGGAGGAGGAGGAGGAGGAGGAGGAGGAGGAGAAGGAGGAGGAGCAGGAGCAGGAGCAGGAGCAGGAGCAGGAGCAGGAGCAGGAGCAGGAGGAGGAGGAGGAGGAGGAGCAGGAGCAGGAGAAGGTGGATGAGGGCGGAGGATGGGCGGGGGAGGAAGGAGAATCGAGGATCGAGGAGAACGAGGTAGAGAGGAGGAGGAGGAAGAAGAAGAGGAAGAGATTTGCGATTGATCGCGATTGCGCTGAATGCGGTGACCAAGATCAAGCCTGGGCGCACTTACCTAACACCCTACACCTCCATGGACGGGTAGAAGCTAATAGCGTAGAAGACAATGAGCAAACACACCGACACGATGCAACCCGCAGTGACGAAATTACAATGCCCCTCCAGCAATAACCCCAGGAAAGTGGCGAGCTGCATGCTTCTTTCAACCACCAGCCAGAGAAGAAATTGAACATAACACACAACGAACAGCACAATGCCGACATGTTGCACCAACGCCTGCTTGCCATGACCGTCACACCGATCACCATGAGGCCGCGTACTCCAAGACGCGCAACGCATACCACACCCACACGATGTGGCCCACGAGCACAGGCCGTGGCAATACATGATGAACAATTTCGCCCCCCGAAACGACAACATCAAAAGAAGACAATGATGAAGACACCCGGCAATAGTAGGACCCGCAGTGAAGTAATAAGCTGTGCCGCCTCCAGCAATACTCACAAAGTATGTGGTGAGCTGCACGCTACTTTCAACCACCAGCCAGAGAAGAACAATATAACACCCCACCACATGCAATACACTGCCGAACACTGCGCCAAAACGTCCTGAGGGCACACCAGGCCCGAGGGCGAGGGGAATGCTAGCCAATCGGCTCATCCCTCGAGCCCCAAATAAAAAATTCCTGAGCCCCATCCCACCAGAATCGACTGCACAATTACAACCAGTGGAAAGCGCCGAGGCCCGCAAACAAGTACAGGCTGCCTCACCGTAGCGGACCCCATGTCCACAATGACCACCAGCGCGCCCAGCAGCCCGTCCACCAAGAAGTCCTGCCTCATAACACGACGAGACCACCAGGAAAATGAGCTGCAGCGGCAAGTACCAGAAGAGAGGCGAGCAAATTCAACCCGGCGTTGCCAGGAGCACTTGGACCTCAAGCGGCAGGGGGCGGCGCACATCTCCACAGTAAGCTCCGGGACGACGGCCGAGCGGCGTTGCGGGGGGCCACTCGGGCCGCCATGATTTGAGGAGGAGGAGGAGGAGGAGGAGGAGGAGGAGGAGGAGGAGGAGGAGGAGGAGGAGGAGAGGAGGAGGAGGAGGAGGGAGGAGAGGGGGGATAGGGGTAGGTTTCGGACAGCTTTTGTCCGCACTTTGGGCGTCTGCAGGTCAATTCTAGACGCGTCGCGTAACTCCACCAGCCCATCCAGAAACGATACCCAGACGAGTTGCCATGATCATGAGTACGGAGGAAAATGGAGTGGAGTAAAGGGCTGGGTAAGACGTCGTTTCCCTAAAAGGGGGGGGGGATGGAGGAGGAATCGGAGGAGGAACAGGAGAGACAGGATGAATAGGGAGAGGGGGGGGTGTGAGCAGGGAGGAACAAGGAGGAGGAACAGGCGGATGAGGAAGAGGAGGAGGAGGAAGAGGAGGAGGAAGAGGAGGATGAGGAGGAAGAGGAGGAGGAGGGCGAGCATAAAGGCCAGCGGTCTCTCTCTTCGGATTTCGTTCGGGAGCTTCTTGGAGTGGGGGCCTCTTGAGGCGTCTTGGGTGCTCCTGGGGGGCCTCTTGGGGCTTCTACGTAGGGGGGTCTCTTGGGAGCCTCTCGGATGAATTGGGCGCCTCTTAGGGGCCTCTCGGGGCCTCCTGGGCACCTCTCGGTGCCCTCTTGGGGCACCCTTGGAAGCCTCGGCGGCCATCTCGCGGCCATCTCGGAGAAGATCGATCAATAGCGGGGGCTCCTTCATTAGGGTCCTCCCCCAAGGAGGCCAAACTGTTGCCAACACCTGAGTAGCACCTATGAGTTTGGCCTTCCCGCCGAGACCTCTTAGGGCGTCTTGGGTGCCACTGGGGGGCCTCTTGGGGCCTCTCGGGGTGTCTCTTTGGAGTCTCTTGGGGGCATCTTGGGAGCCTCTTCGGGGCCTCTCGGGGCCTCTTGGGCACCTCTCGGGGCCCTCTTGGGGCACCCTTGGATGTTTCGGCGGCCATCTCGCGGCCATCTTGGAGGATCGATCGAAGGAGGGAGGCCCGTTAAATAGACTTCCCCCCCCAATGGGGCGGAAATGGTTCCAACATCTGCGTGAAATCAATGTCGTTGACCTTCTCGCCGAGGCCTTTTTGGACGCTCCAACGACCCGCGGAACGCTCTATCCAGGTCCAGGGGGAGAGGTTATGGGGGAGGGGTCAAGCTACCCACCCGCCCGCAAGCCGTCTAGCTCACTCCCACCCGCCCTCCCCACACAAGTAACAGCCGAGCCTGAGCAGGCTCAGCGGTCGTCTTTGGATGGGCAGCTATTGGGAGCCAAAGCCGACCCCAGGTGCGCGACGCTTGGACGAGGTGCGCCACGCGTGCCAGGGGTGCCACGCGCGCCAGGCACCCCTGGGGCCCGAGCGTGCCAGGCACGCCTGGTGCGCCAGATGCGCCACGTGCTCCGAGTGCGCCAGGTGTGCCGCACACTGCAGCCGCGCCAGGTGCGCCACGTTCGGGACACGTGCAGAGTGCGTCAGGTGCGCCTGCGCACGTGACAGCACACATCGGGCAACATATCGGCCCCCACCATCCTTATCGAAAACCAATGCCCATCATTGTGCCTGGTGGGCCTGCGCACAGCAGGCCACGCGCCACCACCCCCGCCGTCCCTGTGAAACGCTACTTGACAGTGATCGCGGGGTGGCCGCGCATGATCCAGATTTCGCCGCGAGGTGCATTTTGTATTGCTTTTTGTAAGGGATTGTATCCCTGCGCGCAGCAGGGAATATGCTGACACCCCCGCCGTCCCTGTCAAAGACAAGACGGAGTGCTCGCGGGCCTCACGAACATTCAAGACTTTGCCCCAAAGTGTATCTTGTATTGTTTTTTGAAAGGGATGGTGTGGGGGGGCCGCATCGGGTTGGCCTCGCATGCTCCAAATGTGGAGGCAGAGTGCGTTTTGTATGTTTTTTGATCGGGATGGTGGGGGGGGCCTGCATGGGGTCGGCATGGTTCCGGGTTGGCCGCCGGCACGGTGGGGGAGGGGGTGTATATTAATAGGGAACAGTGATAAAACAGTTCCCGAAGGGTAAGAAAGGGGGTTGGAATAATAAATTACCTAACAGCTTTTGCTGATAGGTTTCTAGTGGTTTCAAAAGAGAGCAGCAGATGACTCCATAGGGGGGTCGGGGCGGGACCCGGGGCATGCCGCCGAAGCCGAAATCGCTTGGGACATCCTCGCAAAATCACTCTTCGTGCTCCCAGAACTCCATTCCCGGGCCACATTTTGGATGCCCGGAGCCAACTGTAGGCCACTTCGTGCTCTTCGACTTCCCAGAACTCCATTCCCGGGCCACATTTTGGATGCCCGGAGCCAACTGTAGGCCACTTCGTGCTCTTCGATTTCCCAGAACTCCATTCCCGGGCCACATTTTGGATGCCCGGAGCCAACTGTAGGCCACTTCGTGCTCTTCAAGTTCCCAGAACTCCATTCCTGGGCATGATTTTGAATGCCCGGAGCCAACTGTAGGCCACTTCGTGTTCTTCTAGTTCCCAGAACTCCATTCCTGGGCCACATTTTGAATGCTGAGGCAGGCTGATGCTGCGGCCGAGGCAGGCTGAGGCTGAGGCAGGCTGAGGCTGAGGCCGAGGCTGAAGGCAGACTGAGGCTGAGGCTGAAGCAGACTGAGGCTGAGGCTGAGGCAGGCTGAGGCTGAGGCTGAGGCAGGCTGATGCTGAGGCAGGCTGAGGCTGAGGCTGAGGCTGATGCAGGCTGAGGCTGAGGCAGGCTGAGGCTGAGGCCGAGGCTGAAGGCAGACTGAGGCTGAGGCTGAAGCAGGCTGAGGCTGAGGCTGAGGCAGGCTGAGGCTGAGGCAGGCTGAGGCTGAGGCTGAGGCAGGCTGAGGCTGAGGCTGTGACTGCGACTGCCGTTGCCGCTGCGACTGTCATCGCGAATGCGACTACGACTGCGAGAACAGCAGAATTCGACAACTGGATTTTCATCTGAATCTTAAGGGGAATGCTTTCAGATATGCTTCTACACATCGCTGTTAGGTTGCTTTGCCGGGATAATTTTTTACACCCATCAGAAATCAGAAGAAGAGACATGAGCTTTCATGGGCTCCAGATTTCGCTTAAGAAAATCCAGAATTTGGACTGGACCCTGGGCGTTTCTTCTCGTAGAATGTTCGTATATCTGGACCTGGACTACTGTGTGAGAAACTGCTCGAGGTGAAGGCCCTTTTCTTTAGCTTCAGACGTTCTGAGCTCTAAGCAGGGGTGTGAGCCACTCGTGCCCCAAGGGGCTGCCACCATCGGCCCGGGACGACACCCTCGTCGGATCCCAGGAGTCTTGGGGACCTCTTGGGCTCCTCCAGGGGGCTCTTGGGCCGTGTTTTTGGCGATCTTGGGCGCCCTTTGGGCCGTCTGGGACGCCCTGGAAACAAAAAGGGCAGCAATGCTGGAACCATGCAGCAACCAATGGATTTCGACGATTTGCACCTCTTGGACCGCCCTCCATGGACTCCAAGATGGCCCAGGTATATTGGGACAGATTTTGAACGGACATTGGACCGGTTCCAGCGCTGGTCACATCTTCGTTGTCGGCCCGAAAGGGGAGGATGGGGAGGAGGAGGAGGACAAGGAGGACAAGGAGGACGAGGAGGAGGAGGACCAGTGTAAACCCAAGACGCACCATCGATTTTGAAATTTATCCTCCCTCCAAGGTCCCCATTCATAAGTCCATGCATTAATCCATTTTCATCACGGAAAGTGCATCGGATGTTCAGTCCTACCAAACACCATTCTTTGGACCTGAACGCTACGAATCAACCTGGCAGTTGCGTCCTTGAAATCCTGCAGCGTGCGAGAGCACCATTTCTGGGACTTGAACCCCACGATTCCTCCAAGCTGTTGGGAGCTTTGAAGACGCTGTGCTTGCCGCCAACGCGAGAGCCACACTCTGAAAAGGATTTGGCCCCCATCATTAAGACTGTTGCGCACTTTTAAGACGGATGTGCGTAGCGCTAATGCGAGAGCCACACGTTGGAAGCGACTTGTGCTCCATGTTCAGAACCGCTGCAGCTTTCAAGCAACACGATCATTCGTTGCGAGGATGTCTCAAGTGAAACGCCCTCTCGGCCTACCGACACGTCTGGGGGCGCGACGAGGAGGAGTTGTTCATTGCACCAGAGGGGAAATCCAATCAATGGATGGCTTGAAAATTAGTGATATGGACATGGAGATCGATTGTCTGATCGATAGTGAGATCGACAGTGGGATCGATAGCGATCGAGGACGATAGTAAAGCCGATCGTGAGACCGATAGTGAGGTCGATTCAGTGAGATCGAGAGTGAGATCGATCGTGCGATCGCTCGTGTGATCTATAGTTAGATCGATTGTGGGATCGATAGCCAGAGCGAGTGTTCCCCAATCCGTGCTAGTAGCACTGAAGGGGTCCTAGCGGATCTTGAAGGATTTGGCGAAAGTGGGCGGCCGATTTCGGTAGGCCGCCAGGTTCCGGGTTCCCGGTCCCGGGTTCCTGCGTTCCGGGTTCCGGGTTCTGGGCCGATTTCGCTGGGCGGCGGGGTTCTCAGGTTCCGGGGCTCTTGTGTTCCTGGTCGATCTCTTATCGATTGGTCTCACCATCGATCTCAATGTCCATACCACTAACTTTCAAGCCATCCACTGATTGGGTTCTTCTCGGGTCTAATGGGGTAACGGAAAGAGCGAGGTACGAGTGATGACGTTTTGGTGTGGGCGAAGCCCTAGAGGGAGGGGTTCCAGGGGAGGGGCGAAGCGTGTGGACCTGCGTGTTAATGGCCGTTTTCGGGTTTTCTCTCGGGTTTTTGCATGTTTTTCGGGTTCCCCCCCAAGACGGCCCAGGAGCGCTCCAAGAGGGCCCAAGACCGCCCCAAGACAGCCCAAGAGGCCCCCAAAACGGCCCAAGAGGGCGCCAAGACGGCCCAAGAGGCGCCCAAGACGGCCCAAGAGGGCCCCAAGACGGCCCCAAGAGGGGGACCACGAACCGAAAAGTTTAGCCTTTCGCCCCAAGAAGCTCCCAGGAGGCCCCCAGAGCCCCCCAAGAAGCCCCAAGAGGCCCCCAAGAGCTTCCCAAGAGGCCTCCAAAAGGGCCCGACAAGGGCCCCAATAGGACTCCCAAGAAGGCCCAGAGACGCCAAATAGAGAGCGATCGGTAACGCAAAAAGCTCTTCACACCAAGGCTCCCAAGAGCGAACGGTGACGTAAACAAGCTGATAAGACCAAGGCTCCCAGCAGAGAGCGGTGACGCAACAAGTTCCTGACACCAAGGCCCAGCCAAGGCTCAGGAACGAGCGGCAACGCAACAATCTCTGAACACCAAGGCTCCCAAGAGCGAGGGGTGACGTAACAAGCTCTCAACGCCAAGGCTCCCAGTACGAACGGTGGTGTGAGTAATTTCGGCTCCTGTTTCTGAAGATCGTGAGATCGATAGTGAGTCATGAGATTGATGGTGAGGCCGATCGATAAGGAGATCGACCAGAAACCTGGAAACTTGGGCACCCCGCCGCCCAGCGAAATCGGCCCGGAACCGGGAACCCAGAACTGGGAACCCGGGAACCATGCTCCACACCGAAATCGGCCGCCTTTTTCGCCAAATTCTTCAAGATCTGCTAGGACCCCTTCAGTGCAAGCACGGATTGGGGAATACAGATGAGGGATGGAGGAGGGGGAGGAGAAGGAAAAGAGGAGGAAGAGGAGGGGGACAAGGAGAAGGGGGGATTATCTAGATGCTTTAGGAAGGAAAAGCAGGAGGCGGGAGGCAGGACGGAAAAGGGAGAAGGAAGAGGGAGAGGATAAGGATGAGGAGGAGGAAGTCTCCAGAGATGTCTGAAGATCCTCATGGGCCTCCGGAGACTCCAGAAGCCCCCAGCCATCTGGGCTTCCCTAGAGGATGTACCATAATTTGTATCTTGGACCCTCGATTCACATCCCTCTTGTTTCTCCTCGTTGTCCTCCTCATCCTTCCTCCACCCTTCCTCGTCCTCCTCCTCATCCCTTCTTCTTCTCCTCATGCTCCTCCTCCTCCTGCTTCTCCTCCTCCTCCTCCTGCTTCTCCTCCTCCTCCTCCTCCTCCTCCTCCTCCTCCCTCTTCCCTCCTCTCCTTCTCCATCCTTTCCCCCCTCGTCCTCCCTCCCCTCCTGCCCCCTCGTCCCCCCTCCCCCCTCCTCCTTCTTCGTCCAGGCAGACGGCGAGGCCGGGCGCTGCTCGCTGAAGGCGAGGCTGTACGACGCCCGCTCGGGGCCTGGCCGCCAGGAGTGCGTGGTCGAGTTCCAGCGGCGCGGCGGCGACAGCCAGGGGAGGAGGAGGAGGAGGAGGAGGAGGAGGAGGAGGAGGAGGAGGAGGAGGAGGAGGAGGAGGAGGAGGAGGCTGGGAGGGCGGCGGGGAGGAAGAGGAGCGGGAGGGGAAGGGGGGAGGGAGGCAGGGAGGATTGGGGGAGGAGGATAGGGGTGGTGGGGGCGGATGGAGGAAGAGAAGGTGGGATGAGGGTGAGGACGGTGGTGATGAGGATGAGCTGGAGGAGATGGAGGAGGAGCAGCACTGGGTGGACGAGGAGAAGGGACGATGATGACGACGATGATGATGCTGATGATGATGATGATGATGATGATGATGATGATGATGATGATGATGATGATGATGGAGAAGATGAAGAACATGATGATGGTGGTGGTGATGATGATGATGCTGAAGAGGATGATGATGGTTATGATGATGATGGTGGTGATGATCAGGAGGAAGATGAGAATGAGGATGCGCATGTGGATGATGATGATGGTGGTGATGATGATGATGATGTGGACTACGAGATTGATGATGATATTGATGATGATGAGTATGATGATGTTGATGTTGATGTTGATGATGATGATGATGATGATGATGATGATGATGATGATGATGATGATGATGATGGTGATGGTGATGGTGATGGTGATGAGGACGGTGATGGCTATGGTGATGACGATGATAATGGTGGTGATGATGAGGGTGATGATGCTGACGCTGACGCTGATGCTGATGATGGATATGCAAATGATGATGGTGATGATGATTGTGATGGTGATGATGATGCTGAGCATGGTGATGGTCCTGGTGGCGATGATCATGATGCTGTCGCTGATGATGATGATTATGATGAATATTCTTGTGATGATGGTGATGGGGACGATGATGGCGACGGTGATGATGATGATGATGATTATGATGATGACTATGCTGATACTGCTGCTGATGATGATGGTGATGCTGATTGTCGTGATGAGTATGATGCTGATGGTGATGGTGCTGACGCTGAGACTGGGAGTGCTGCTGCTGATCAGGGTGCGGATGAGGATGATGATTATGAGGATATCGATCATAGGGGATGAGGTTGTTGAGGATGATGATGATGATGATGATGATGATGGTGATGATGCTACTGCTGATGATGATGATGTTGATGCCGCTGCTGCTGATGATGATGATTGGCGTGGTGATGATGTTGGCGCAGAGTTTGATGGTCGTGGTGATGATGGCGGCGATGAGGCTGATGATGATGATGATGGTGATGATGAATGATGCTGATGGTGGTAATGCTGATGGTGATTCGGATGATAATGGTGAGGTTCAGGATGAGGAAGAGGATAAGGATGAGGAAGAGGTTAAGGATGCTGCTGATGATGGTGATAATCATGGTGCTGATGATGATGATGCTGATGATGACGATGATGATGATGATGGTGATGATGATGGTGATGCTGATGACGATGGAGATGATGCTGGTGATGATGAAGACGGCATTGATGATGATGATGTTTGTGCTCATGATGATGAGGATGATGATGATATGTGATGGTGATGATTGTGATGGTGAGGATGATGATGATGATGGTGGTTTTGGTGATGATGATGCTGATGATGCTGCGCATGATACTCATGATGATGATGATGATGCCGATGATGATGATGATGACGATGATGATGATGATGATGATGATGATGATACTGATACTGATACTGATACTGATGATGATGATGCCGATGATGATGATGATGATGATGATGATGATGATGATGATGATGATGATGGTGGTGATGATGATCATGATCATGGAGTTGCTGTCGATGATGATGATGACGCTGATGCTGATGTGGATGTGGATGTGGAGGAGGAGGAGGAAGACGCAGAGGGGGTGGGGGATGAGGAGGGGGGAGGAGGGCTAGGGAGGAACAGGAGATGGAGGGGGGAGGGTGGAAGGCGACAGCACCGCGCTGTGGCACGTCTTCTGCAACGCCAGGGCTTCCCTCCAGGGACGCCGGCAGTTCGCCCCCGCCGAGGCGGGAGGGCGCGAACCGTGCACCAAGTGAGAGGAGTTGGGGGGGATAACGAGGCGATGGCGGGAGCGAAGGGGAGACGAAGGAAGGAACGAGTGAAGAGAGGACTGGGGCAGGCGGAGGAGCGGGACCATTGGGGTCCTCCGATCGCTAAGTGCGATGCGATAGTAGCGTCTTGCGCGCTTGGGTTTGGCCCCCCCGCGGCCCCCCCAAAGCCGCGCAGCAAAAGTCAGTGTTACCCAGGGTCACTCTTGCGCGTAGTCGAGAGGAGGAGGAGGAGGAGAAAGAGGAGGAGGAGGAGGAGGAGGAAGCCGCTCACCAGCACCCTGCAGCTAGACTTATGGATTGTACGAACCCGTCCTGTCGCCCAGAGGTCTGTTCTTCTAAACTGGAAAAGAAAAAAAAAATCAGAATTAAAAAATTCAGGATTCAGAAATTCAGAATTAAAGAATTCAGGATTCAGAAATTCAGAACTAAAGAATTCAGGATTCAGAAATTCAGAAATAGCCAGGTCAGGATTCAGACGTTCAGAAATAAAAGAAAAGCTGATTCAGGAATTCCGAACTACGCAGCATCCAGGGGGTATTCTTCGATTCCAAATTGGTTGGCGGACCCTTGCGGTTCGACTTCGCGAAACCGCGGGCTCTGAATGTCCAAAGGGTCAGACATCACACTCCAGGCAAGTTTCCCATCGGGGCGTGCTGGATATGCCAGCATAGCGGATTCTCCCGCCATGTAGCGCGTGCGCGCGCAGCGTCGATCCCAAATCGGTTGCAGCTGTGGCCGTCCAGGGATTATTGGATGCGTTGTATAGCGAAGATGGCAAATTGGGGCAGACGCATTCAGTTCAACGCATGTCCGCCGATCGGCGGGGCGGAGACTGCAGGAGGGGAGGGGGGGAGAGGAGAGAAGAAACAGGAAGGGCGGACCGTGCGGCAGGGGCCAGGGAAACGGGAGAGGAAGGGAGGGGCGGTAAGACAACTTGGAAAGATGGATGGATTGGAAGGGCAGGGGGGCGAGGGGCGGGGGGCAGGGACGCAGCGGTAGCACTGGGTAGCGAGGGGCGGCGCTCCCTTTTTCACCGTGTTCTTTGCTCAAGGGTGATGGGCGATCCTGCTAGCATCGCCGCAGGGTTTCGTCGCGTCGGCGTTGGCCTTGGGGCCAGAGATGGCGAGGGGGCACCAGCAGCTGCGTTCCAGGCGCTGCCGCCGAGGGCTGCCCGCGCTCCCAGGTGGCAGGCGCTGCCGCAAGGAACCCAGCCAAATTCTGCGGGCCACACTCGAATTGCCAGGGATGCCAAGAAATTGAAAGCATGTGAAGGTGACGCGCATAAGAAGTCAGAGGAAAGCCACGCCCTGATGAAAGCGTGGAATGATGAATTCGGCTTGCACGCAGGCGATCGCATTGGGGGGCCGCTGAACCGTCACCCTGAAACATGGCATCCCGAAGGCGCAATGAAGTTGGGCTGGCGGCAAGTTGGCGGGCACCTTGTTAAGCCAGGGAGCGGACAGAACTGCGTTGGGGAATCCCACCGAGGCATTGATGCGTTGATCCCGTTGGCCCGGGCTGTTTTTGTGGAGTCGAGGTGCGCTTTTTCCCAATGGTTGCGAACCGCAGCTTCGGACCATGCGTTGCACATCGATCGGCACTATGATGCAACGCCAGTGGTCATGCAATTTGGCAACCATGCGCAATCACTGGCACCTGTGGCAAGGTATTTTGTTCCTGATCCCACGAGGAGGAGTGGTTACCGCTCTGTAGATTGGAACGGATACCATCGGATGTTTCCACGGAGTACTCCGCGGAAAGGGATGCTAGAAATATTAGGCCACACTTTGGAGGCACATATTGCGGATGCGTCGGGTCATTCTGAGTCACGCCAGGTGTTGATGCCGCCCGTGGTTCTCGGGAGAGCAAATTCGTCGACGTTGTATAATGCATTGGAGTCGACACTACCTGAGGCCAGTACCGCTGCTGTGGTAGAGTTGTCAAATCAGTTTGGAGTAATCACTCTATCGGAGGTCCCAGACAACGCGGCAACGAATATCAGAAAAAGGGCCTTTACGCATTCGTCATTGCCAAGCAATGTTTTGGCGACGACCCACGGGTGTTCGGCCCATCTTTGCCAGCGGGTGCTCGAGAAGGCTACGACTATGAAGTCCCTCGTCGGTGACGTTCACGCCGTGCATGTGGTCGTGCGCCAGCCTGGCTTCAGCAATGCATTGTCGAAGGCGCTTCGCGATATCGTGGAAGCACCTGGAGGTCTGCGCATCGTGCCAGGGCCGCCGCCTGACCCAACATGGCGCAATCGAACAAAATCTATACTGGAGCACACCCTTCTTCGGCGAGGTTTCACTGGTGGTTTTAATCTTTCTGCGCCGGGGGAGCCCGGGGCATCGGTGCAATCTGAGCCTAAGGATTTGGACACTGACTGCGACGACGACGACAGATGCCGACGGAGGCGGCGGCAAGGCGTAGACGCAATCTTGAAGTACATCAACTCCAACCCTGCTGAGTCGCAGTTGGTTCATTTTTGTAGTGGGGATGGGTGTTGCGAGAGCGAGGCCGACGCACGGGAAAATTATATCACAGCTATCTTGTCTGGTGGTTTGATCCACGGTTTCGCGTCTCAGACGCCGAGCACGGGCCGTTGGGGGACAACTACAATGTCTATGAGCGAACAGGTGTGCGGCGACATGATCCATGGAATTCTGGGGAGAGTTCTGGCCAAGGCGTTTCAGACGTGGCAGAGTGGTGCTGATATTGACGAGGAGGAGGATTTCAGAAGGATGCTGCAGAGGAAAGTATGGCGCGCCAAGTTGTATATGAATGACAAGGCCCGTTTGTCTTCACGGTCGTTGATCGTTTTCGCAGTTGAACCTCTTGAATGGTTGATGCAGCATTTGCAATGGTTGGACATTCGTCAAAATGGCATTCTAGATTTGCAGCATGATCGACTGAACCCTTTCG